AACGTAGGGAACAGAGACTGACATTTTAGATTAAAAAATCAGTGTTCCTCCGAGCACTATCTAAGCTCCCTGAAACCATTACAATTTCCATTTCACCTGATAACAGTAAGTAGTGTTACTTTATAGTTTAATTATTTCATATTATATGCTAGAATGCAACACACTTTGAAAGTATTCATCAAAAGAAAATAACATCAATGAAAGTAACTAAGGGAATAAATGCATATATTGTTAAAATTATTTTATGAGTGAGGCAGGGTATAAAGCTATTTTTTTTTTTTAAAAAATCAATCCTTTAAATAAAGTGGCAAAATAATTTGATGTCTGGGTTCAAGATTGTCTTTCTCAAAAAGAAATAATGTCCAATCACGGTGATGTATGCCTATAACCCCAGCACTTGGGAAGGAGGAGCGGGGTGATACACATTGTTCAGGACAGTCCTGGGCTAACTAGTGAGTTTAAAGCCAACCTGGCTACATATGTCTTAATAAATAAATAGATGTCCCACAAAACAACATAACTCGTATTACCCATTTTTAGTGGCATATATATGAAACCTGTCTTTCTTTTCAAGATCTTTAGAAACAAGCATGTTTGAAAAGCAAAAGCTGTGTACAATTGTAACAGTAGTATATAATGCGATATTTGGATATCCACACACACATTGAGTGGGAGAGAGAGATATGCCACAGGCATAACCATTACTTCTTTCTTCTGTGTGGAAAGAATGTCTAAGATTGCACCCAGGAAGTATTAAGCATGCCATGGGTTAACTGTCATTATCTTGCTTTACCACTGAGTTTTAGAACTTATTTGTCCTAAATAAAACTGTGACATCTCCCCGAACGAATCTTTTCTTTCTAAATAGTTTGTAAGACTATTTAATCCAGTATTTGTATGGCAGCCTACTTTAGGGTCCCCTTTAAGCCTAAGGTACTTGATGACAAGTGAAGAAGTGTATTCCTGGCGTTAGGTTCCCAATGAAATGTTTTCCTAACCTAACTAGCAGGAGAGTACTCAGACTACCTCCAAATCATCACCAGTGGGAGACATAAAGCCCAAGTGCCTAGAAACCTCATTAAATGTCTCTCTTTGACCAAGAGTTATGTCTCCCTGTTGGGTCTGACTAATAAAAGTTGTAATTAATCTGAAAGGAAGAACTCGTAAAAGACAGAGGGAGTTTAAGAATTTATCCCTGGACTTTTTGGCATGGAAGCTTTTTCTATTATCGTTCACAAGACAGCTGGGTCAGCTACTCCATCAAAAAGTTGAATTTCATTAACTCGAATTCATCCTAAAGCTACAGAGTTACCTACAAGGAAAGCCACACATGCTGTATAATTATGTCCTGTGTGGGGGCAGGAGGGCTCTGCTGGCCCTATGGTCCTCTGATTCAGAAAACAGGGATCAACTTAAACAAGCAGAAAAGAATTCTTCTTTGTAAAACGATAGTGATGGGCGATTATGTGATCTAGTGTATACACAAGGGGAAAACATAAATATCCTCAGATTTGTTTCAGAATGTAATCACCATCTATCTTCAATATTTGGAATACCTATGCAGAATAGGAGGAGAATGAAGAAAGGCATTTTATGATCCTGCTTAAAGGCCATCAAATCAGTTTCTCTACAGAGAGGCAGAAATGGGACAGGCCATCAAAATCTAGTACTGGAAGGCTAATAACAGTGCACGCCAACAGCTCAGTCACATGGATTACACCTGTCAGCTACCAGACCAAACATGACAGTTTCTATTTCCAGTCTACACGTAGATTGTCATTTCTATTTCCATTTTCTATGATATAAAATGAAGTTTTAATTTAGCTAGTATTAAACAGAAAATCTTGTTTGGAGGGGGCTTTCTCAAAGCAGCTGTTCACACAGACTGCAATAATCTAGTGGAATGCAGAAACGTTCAAGAACATCAATTTTTTTTCCATTTTTTTTTTTTGATTCATTTGCTTGAACTTCTTGCTAATGGGATTTTTGTGATAAAAGACTGGGCCAGTTTGGAGAGGAAAGAGTTTAGCTGGCTTACAGTTTAGAGTTCATCATTGAGGCGTGGAGAGGTGATAAGGAATTTAGAACAGGAAGGTGAAGCAGAGGCTCGGGAAGAACACTGCCTACTGGATTGCTCTCCATGGCTTGCTCAGTTTACTTTCCTATACAACCCGGGAACCACCTGGCTCCATGTTTTCCTATACAAACCGGTTCTACCCGCCCAAGGGTAGAACTACTCACAGTGGCCAGGGTTTTCCCACATCAATAATTAAGCTAGAAAATCCCCCACAGGCCAGTCCCTTGTTGTAAAAGGCTGCTTGTTCTTCCCAGCTGCCCAGCTAGCTTAGACCCAAAATAATCACACAGAAACCATATTATTTAAATCACTGCTTGGGCCGTTAGCTCTAGCTTCTTATTGGCTAACCCTTACATATTAATTTAACCCATCTCTATTAATCTGTGTATCACTACGTGGCAGTGGCTTACCAGGTAATGTTCCCAGCTTCTGTCTCCAGTGGATCCATTGCTTCTCCCTATTTCACCTTATTCCTCCCATGCTACAGGCCAAGCCAGTTTTCTTTATTTATTAACCAATAAAATTAACACATAGAAAGAAGGACCTCCCACATCAGTTCCTCTTCCCCCATGACTCTAGTTTATGTCAAGCTGACCAAAAATAAAAACAAAAAACAACAACAAAAAAAAAACTAATTGTCACAAGAGCTAAGTCCTATGTGTATGAAATAAATGGCAATTTTTGAACTATTGAGCTAAATATTTGTAATTCTTTACTCATCACAGTCTGTGTACCTCTCCTAAATTGAAATCAGCCTGTTTTAATTCATTCATGTTAACCAATATCTTATGTCTAAACAACTGAAAGGAAGCCATGAGTTAGTAAGTTAATGTTGGGCCTTTGTAGAAGGTGACATGGAACATCTTTCCGTATGAGATTTAATATTTTAAAGATTTATTTATTTTATTTTATGTGTTCAAGTGTTTACCTGTATGTCTGTGTACCATGTGCGTGCCTTGTGCCAAAGCTGGTCAGAAGAAGTTGTCAGGTCTATAAAGCTGGCATTATAGATGGCTGTGAATGCTGGGAACCAAACCTGGGTCCTTTGGAAAATCAAGAAATCCTCTGAACTGCTGAGACAGCCACATGTAGGGATTTGAAAATTTACAGAACACTACATATCAAATGTGACAACGTAGCTTAGTAGCCGGTGATATGTCTCGACGATAATTACCCACACTTGTATACGAGGCACATGAATAGATGGTTAGGTTAATTTAAATTTGGTTCCTCTAGGAAGAAACTCCATGATACAGTTACAAAGAATGACAATAATAAGAGGATGGGAAGCTTGGGTTGATACAAATACTACTCTGCCCAGATTATTAATTACAAAAGGGTTAATTGGGACTAGAAACCCAGGCTGTGAGAATTTAGAACAGTGAAACTGAGACCCAGGCTGTGGAAATCTGAAACAGGAAAACTTAGAAAAGCTAAGCTTTTATTCTTTTCTCAAACTTACTAAAATAAATTTGACGACAGTTGTTTTTTTTGAGGATTGAAGTGATGTGCTCATAAAGGGGGAGAATGTTGATGATATTTTCCAAAGGTTCTTCAAGAGAACAGATAAAGAAAATAGAGAAAGATGAGAAGGATGAAGTCTGGAAGCCTATGGGGAGTTGGGTCAATGATCCTGAAGAGAAGGACATTTGCATGTGTTGATCAGAATATTCACACATAGATTGAGAGTTGAGTGGCTACCCATGAATCTTGAAGTAGTCGTCGTCACTGTCCTGCTGGCCAGCGGGAGGATGTGCGGTGTTCACAGCATTGATGGAATGGCCGAACAAGTGAGATGCCTTAAGAAAATACATTAGGTTCTCTGCATTTGCTAGACTAAAGACTGACAGACCACATACTTTCAGATGAAACTACTTTTTAAACACTGACCATTTTTACCTTGAGCTGCTTTCTGGCTTTTAATATTTATTTTTTAAATTATAAGTTGTTGTTTAAAAAAGAGGGAAAGGAGGATCCTTGTTTCATTTCTCTGCCATATGGGAATTCTGAAAAGCAGTTGGAAGTTTCTCTGGAGTGGCCTTAAATCTGTTCATCTGGCCTTCTATAAATAACGAAATGAACACATCAGGCCCAGAGAGGATAGGGACACAGGCTTCAAAATTTCTCCAGAAAATGATATACCTCTTGGAGTTTTGTTGGTTGGTTATTAGCAGGAACCAGATGGAGAATTGCACTCTCTCCCCAGGACACTAATAGAAACAAGTTCGGAGATTTGTTTCTGAGTTTTTCTGGCTGAAATATGTTCTAACACAACAACCTTTGGGGCTCAAATTATCCTGACATTTCTCTATGAAGTAGTCAGTAGGCATCAGTGGCCTTGGTGTAATTAGGTAAAGAAGCTTACCTCAATGACTGTAGTTAAGCTTCATATCCTTTGCAAGGTGCTACACAAGCAAACTCCCTAAATTGTCAAGGCCATTTACTAAGCTAAGGTTGAAACTCCGCCTGCCTGACTTTCCTGAAGTGACTTCCAGATTTGACCTTTACAATGTGTGAATGATTGTCACCAATGATATGGCATAAAAGTTAAAAAAAAATAAGCTGTATCGTTGGTGATATTTTAGAATTAGGACACATTTTCTCTAGTCTCTCTCCACTTTCCTCAAGAGATAATATGCTTGATTCTAAGACTAAATAAGACTTGACTGTGTGTGATTTTTAATTTTCGTATCATTTTTCTTCCACATAAACTCACTCTTGCTTGATTTCTTTAAATTTTGAAATGAGTGATTTACTTAGTGAAGATAAGCTAATAACCCTTGAATTTAGCAGCCTCCGCACAGCTACATTTTTCCACGAGTAAACAGCAGTTTGCTTACAGCCATTTAGTATAATGTGCACAAAGTCCCTCATTTGTTTTTTTACTATGAAAATAACCTCTCTTTGATAGATTTTAGCAAAGAAAACAGCACGAATGATCCCGACGATTCCACAGATACAATAAGGCGTTATCAGGGTTCCAAGAAGCCCTTCGAAGAAAGGAAAAGCAGGTCGTCGTCCTTCATCTCCTCCATCGATGATGAACAAAAGCCACTCTTCTTGGGAACCATAGACTCTACTCCAAGAAAGGTGAAATCAACCCGACTCCACGGTGAAGAAACAGTGCCCACCTCAGGAAGAATCCACGTGGATAAAAGAAGCCACTCTTGCAAAGGTAACTGAGCGTCAGCAGTCTCTCCTCACTAGATGGGAAAGTGATGCTTTTCAAAACCGAAGAACTGCACGAATCCAGGTTCTTCTGACGTTAGACTGAAAGTTAACCTGTATGCCCCACATTAGACCGGGCGACTTCCTGGGATTCTGGGAGCTGTAGTTCTTGGAAAATAACTACAAAGCCACGGGGGAAAGAATGATGGCCTATAGGGTTTGCCTATATCTAAATTTTAGTTTGGAAAGTTTTTATGGCCAATTAAACTTAGTGTAAGACTAAGAAGAACAGCGCTATTGGCAGTTTGTTGGTTATAGGAAGGACGGATCAGAGGCTCTTTGCTGAGAGCTAGCAAGTTAAAGGATTTTTTGTTGTTGTTTGTTTGTTTGTTTGTTTGTTTTGGATTTTCGAGACAGGGTTTCTCCATAGCTTTTGGTTCCTGTCCTGGAACTAGCTCTTGTAGACCAGGCTGGCCTCGAACTCACAGAGATCCACCTGCCTCTGCCTCCCGAGTGCTGGGATTAAAGGTGTGCGCCACCACCGCCCGGCTTAAAGTTTTTTTTATATTCATCCTCAGTACCAATTCTTAACTTCAGCCTTAATAACTTTATAACATAGAAGCTCCATCCAATTATAATACAATGTAAACCAAACATAATTGTGTTTTACTGTGAAGTATGAGGATGAGGAATATCTTGAAATAAAACATCTTCTTGTGACCATTCTTGTTTCATATCTCCTTCGAAAGGAGTAACAAAATATGCAAGATCTGTTGTAGAAAATACACAAGAACTGAGAAGTGTGCTTTCGTTTTCAGATTTTATGATAAAGGATAGGAAACAACACTTTAAAAATGTTACTGAAGGAAAATCAGTGTACCAGATCTCTACATCTAGCTAGATCTTGCTATTTAAGTGAACTTGGAGATGTGGATCAGACTACTTGGATTATAAAAATTAGCTCTGCCATCCTATATGACTTTAGGCAAATTGCTTGATCAACCTCAGGGTCCAATTTCTTCATCTTTAAGATAGAATCAATGCTATCTAATCAACTGATTATGATTATTTAACCATAAACTGTAAATAAAATTTTCTGGGATCGAATCTTAAGTTTTACTTAATATTTTCTGCTAGGTTTTTATTTTCCAACTATTTACTTATTTAATTTAAATGTGGAAATTGAAAAGGCCTCTCCCAGGGCTGGAGAGCTGGCTAGGACCTTGAGAGCACTTGTTGCTCTTACCAGGTGCCTGAGCTTGGTTTCTATCTCCCGTATCCATCCAGTGGTGCACCAATGCATGTAATGCCAGTTCCAGAGAATCCATTGTCCTTTGCTGGCTTCTCCATGCATGTGCATTGTCTTCACATGCAGACAAGCAGCACACACATATATACACATAATAAAAATAAATAAATCTTTTTAAAGACGGTATTATGAAGCATCAAAAGATTATAACATAAATGAAGAAAAGCAGGATTCTTTGCTAGGAGGAAAGAAAACTACGTCCCTGAGAAGGCAGGCAGTCCTCGTCATCACCATCATTCCGCAGGAATGTCCAACCACCAAGTGTGTTGAGACAAGATGGCGAGGGTTGCTAACTTCCCAGAGTTCCTTTCCCTATCTTCCCCACCGTGTCACATAAGCTTTTGTCGTGATTTCACACGGCAATAAGCTCAGAATATATGCAAATGTCCTCTAGACAGCCTAAAATCTTGATGGAATGCATGGAAATAGTATCTCATTCATCACAGTGGAAGAATGGAATATTAGATGTGATTACCAAATGTCCCATTTTAGTTATTTATGAAAATGGATTCTGGGTAGGACTAAAAATAGAAAACAGGTTGTATCCAGGAAGCCAGAGTTCTGAAGAACTCACTGAACAATACCTACTATGGACAAAATGATTCTAAGATGATTTTTGTAAAAACATGTTTTCTTCTTAAATATTAGGCTCTCAAGTGACAAGTCATTAAAGATATTTTTGAGATTTTATTTGACTTTATAATGATTCTCCCTGACAGTGAATTCAAACGCCGTTCGTTTTATAATTTTTCTTCTTCCAACTTTTAATTAACTCTTCTCTGAGCTCAACAAATTATATTTTCAGGAGATTTTAACGTGTCCAAACATCCATGTTTTCAAAAATTCATAATGAAATGCACACTCCAGTCACGAACAATTATCTTGATAATGCATAGCTAAATATGGATGCCTACTGACAAATGGAACTGATAACATAAAGCTTCAGTCAAGATGACATGCATTGAACATGACTAATTAATATAATTACAGTGAAGAATTTAAAAACTTGATTCACTGAAAAAAAATCATTCCCCAGAAACTTTCAAAGTGCAAGGCTGTGTATTAGTAATGAGCTTCGATATGTAAATGTAGGTATAATTGTTGCAGATCAAACTGCTGGGTTCTGACTGTTTCGTTTAATTGTCAATAGGCAGTTTCACTCCCTTGCATTCTGAGACTTGTCATCCCAAAGAAGGGGTCATTTCAGCAAAACTTTAAAAGAAAAAAAATTAAATTGACTCTGGCCTTCCTAGTGCTGAGGTCAAGTGTAGACTCCGGGGAAACTGTGAACTCTGAAAATGAAGGTTTACCCTCTGTTCATCCATTTGCAGAAATGTGTCTTGCAACTATGGCAACATTTTCCAAGGCAACCAGTGCAGATACCGTCTGAGCTATTTTTAGAAAGTGTCTACAAGGATGCTCATTTGATTAAGACAATCAACCAGGGTTTCCCCCCCTTTGAATTCTTTAGTTTTCATTCTGCCATTAAATCAAATTAATAATATATCTCTAAATTTCAATTAAAAATTAAGTTGTGATGAAGGAAGCCTCAATCTCACAGTACACATTTTACTCATTTCTGCTAAGATAATCCTTTTCTTAAACATCAAAGAAAAACACTATCCTCCATAAGTTACTGCAGGCGACTCACCAGAGTCATTTAAAAATCAATGTGGTACGTCATTGGGGAAGGAGGGGGCTCTTAGGCAGAGGCAGAAATTCAGTGAGGTTACTTGGCACCGAGCTCATGAGGACACCGCATAGCCTTCACTGCTATCACTTCTCAACCTCTCTAAAGTAATGTCCCTGCAAGAACTGGCTGTTGAGAATCAAGAGGGGGCCGGTGCCTGGCATCCCCAAGCTCCCTGCGCACGTTCTCCAACGCTGATTGAGCATCACCGACACAGAGTAGGAAACGTAGTTTACCAAGGCACTCGGTTGTGGGGCTGCATTTTAAACTGGTGCAAATGTCTGTGAACAACCAAGCATACTTCTCCAGGAAAATCGCCCTGTCACTTCTGTATTCACGTTTCTCCCTGTCCGGTAAGACGGGAAAAAATAAGCGATACACGGACACTGTAGAAAAGCATGGAACACCAAGATCCTGCGGGCTTTACAGATGCCATAAGCAGGAGCCTCCTCTGGACGTCACAGAGAAGTCTCTGAGGTTTGTTAGCCATTTCCACAAAACAAGGAACCTGGCCTTGTTTTTCTCCTGCTGTCTTTGGTTATGCTAATTCCTGCCTTATAGCCTCCCCTACTGAGACAGAAATAAAAAGCACATCATTAGAGACTTTTTTTTTTTTTTGTACACACAGTGATAAAAGATAGGGAGAGAAAACCCATGGAAAAAGAATATTTTTTTTGTCATCTGCTCAGAAAGGGGGAGTACAAGGCACCCCCCACCAGAGTGCTTTCAGAGAAACCATAGGAAAGGAAGTCTCACAGATCTGTTCCCTATTTCTAGACTCATCGCTAATCCTGCCCAATTTAGTTACTTTCAGTCCTTTTTAAAAAAAAAAAAATAGCTAAGGATGTAAATTCCATATCTTATGTAATAACTCTCCTTGCCGTTTAACCATAGCTATTTGTCAAGACTTTCTTTTAAAATGTCTTTCGAACCACATTCTATGACCCAAAGCTAGTTCGGAAGCAAAGAGAAGAACCACTTGAGGGACATCTCCCCTCCCACCGGCTCTCCCATGAAGGAAAAAATTTGCTTTTCTTTATTCCTGAGATAATTTCCCAAGTCCAGTTGCATTTCTTCACTGGTTTTATTTCCTTAACCTTCACACATTTTGTAGAAGAAAGTGGGTTCAAAGCATCAAATTTCTTGACAAAAATGAGGAAGAAAGTAGTATATATTTGGAGATTTTAGCAGAGGTTAATGAATCATTATATGAAAAATATAACTTATATAATGAATCATTATATGACAAATGACCACGGACATTCTGAGTTGAACTCTTCAGGGTCACAGTCTTTGTCGTCAGTTCCTCACGCTTAGCAGAATCTGGAATTTAACACTTGGCACACCAGAAAAGTAGAAATGAACACATAAGAAGTTTGTTTTAAAGTATATTAACGTAAAGTATTTATAATAAAGGTTCACAAAAAGAAAATTCTAGAAAGCAATGTGACTATATTAAATGTAGCACAAAAGAACCTTTAAGGAAGTTGAAAGCATGGAAGAGCAGCAGAGGACTTTTAAGACTTCCCCAAACACCCAGAAGACCCACAGTGCCCTCCTGACCTTCTACTGGGGCTCAAGCAGAACCATGATGTGTGGAAATTACCTTACGTGTAGGGGTGCTAACACTCTTACGTTCTGGGTAAAGCATTGCAAACAAACTTGCTATCTTCTCCCGATTAAATAGTAGTTGTTTGATCAATTTGAATTTGTCCACCATGTCTTCTCAGCACTAACAAAAAGATGGGAAAAAAAATCATAACCTGGGGGAAAAAAATCTTATGACCTGTTGTAGAATGTGAACCCTATGAAAAGGGATGGGGGAGGTAAGCTAGACAGCTTAAGGTTAAGATTCTGCGACAGACTGGAGATGGTGATTGCCATGTCTTTGAGCTCCTGTGTTTCTCTCTGTCTTGGATTATGCCTGGAGATGCGCCTAGTCTGCCTTGCAGGGGTCTTTGTACTGTATCTCCAAGGGACTTCCAAAGAAACTGACATCTGTCTTGCTCTCTCCCACAGATATCACTGATGCACACAGCTGGGAAAGAGAGCCTGCCAGGGCTCAGCCTGAAGAAAGCAGTCCGCCAGGACTTCAGAGAGCTGCTTGGGGGATCTCTGAGACTGAAAGTGACCTCACCTATGGGGAAGTGGAGCAAAGGTTAGATCTACTTCAAGAACAACTCAACAGGTAAATGAGCATTTGAAGCCAAAGAGGAATTTATGTATGTACATCACATAAATAAAGAAGACCAAGGAGCATGGAATTTAGGGTACTTTTGCCACCAAGCTCCCTCCCTTAGCTTACCATTCCGTTCATGTACCGTCTGCACTGTTATCGTTAAAACGCCTCCTGCTCTCAAAGTAATTTACATTAGACTTCTTAACAGGCAACCTCATTCTTTTAATTCTTGTATATTATTTAGTTGTTGTTCCTGAATTCACCCTGAGCTGTGACATTTTGAAAAAATGATTAAGTAAATCAACTTCAAAAATATTAATGTTTTTAAAGCATCGCAAGCTAAAGCAAGACTTGGGTCCCCCAACCCCTTCCCTTGATCTAGACAAATATGAGGAATAATTTTAGTTTGGGGAAAGAGGCAACGCTTTATTCAATACTGTTTCAGTTCTTTAAAGTTAAATTGGTCAAAAACATCTAGAGGAGACAAGCAAGTCTCTGAGTTCTGAGACTGGTTGATCCATATAGCGAGTTCCAGGCCAGCCAGGACTACGTAGTAGGCCTTGCCTCAAAAGAAAACTCTAGGAAAAATGAAGATTCTGATAGCTGCCCTGAGTGTGTTTGGAAATGTGTTTTATTCGGTGTTGACCTTCACGTATACTAGAAGGCAAGTATCTCAAAGGCCACAGCATGATTTATTAAAGAGAGGCAAATGTGGGCAATTAATGCATTTCCTATAAGCCTGATGAAAGGCATGCTACCTGAAACCTGATGATACAACCCAGAGCTACCAGGATGGCAAGTTCTTTCCACTTCTTTCATAACTACCCATCTTCCTTACTATATCACATTTTTGCATTAATGGCCAATTAAGCTATATAGGCTTAAGGTTTATGTAGATGTTCTTAAATATTTATATAGTATGCCTAGATATATACAAAGTTGGGGGAATTGCAAATGTTTGATCCCACAGCAGAATTTCTCAAGCTTGAATATGCACTCGGGTGGCTGGGTAAGTTGCAGAAGTGCAACTGTAAGACAGAAGGGCTGGGAGTTGCAGAGTCCACATTTGAACAGGCTGCCAGGGATGCTCAGTGCTGCTTGACTAAGGAGCACAAATAAGATGACCTAAAATATGTAAAACGTGTGGTCAGTGGCCTTTCCACTGCAGAACGCACAAAGCAATGTGTTTGCCTTCCACGACCACATTAAGGACTGCTTTGTTTACTGTTACAATCGATTATCCATGTCCTTCACTTTCTTTTCTGTTGTTTATATAGTATGCAAATATGTGCATACTATATAATATGTATATGTATATATGTAATGTATGAGGATGCGTGTGTGAGGATTATGCTTGTGTACGTACACACGTGTGCAATTGTGGAGGTCCAAAGTTGACACTAGGTGTCAATCTTTTTTTTTGTATATTCATTTTCTTTTTTTATTATTTATTTATTTATTTATTTATTAAAGATTTCTGTCTCTTCCCCACCGCCGCCTCCCCTTTCCCTCTCCCTCCCCCAATCAAGTCCCCCTCCCTCGTCAGCCCAAAGAGCAATCAGGGTTCCCTGCCCTGTGGGAAGTCCAAGGACCACCCACCTCCATCCAGGTCTAGTAAGGTGAGCATCCACGAAACTGCCTAGGCTCCCACGAAACCAATAGGTACAGTAGGATCAAAAACCCTTTGCCATTGTTCTTGAGGTCTCAGTAGTCCTCATTGTCCGCTATGTTCAGCGAGACCGGTTTTAACGAGACCGGTTTGATTTTTTTTTTTTCTAACTTACTTCTTCACTCGCAGTTCCTCAGCTGAACTCAGAAGCTGTCCGTTAGCTACCATAGCTATCCAGGTTTGCCGGAGAATCTCCCTTCTCTGTCTCCTGAGTGCTGGGATTACAGATGGCAGCCACATCTGCCCAGCTTCTCCTGTGGGTTCTGGGGATCCGGACTCTGGTCCTCACACGTGTTCTGTCTATAATGAGCTCACTTTCAATTATCACTCCTCATGGTGTCTCATCTCTCCTTTCCACCTAATGTCAAGCCTGATTGAGAGCAGGTCTCCTTTTCTACAACTTTATGTTATGCTAACAAAAAAAAAAATATATCTAAAGCTGGGTTGTTTTGTGTTTTAAAAACAGAGAAAAATTGGACTTATGTTTAATTCCCTTTATTCTTTCAAAGTACTTTACTTATTCTCAAAAGACTCCTTTATAATTCTGCAAATAGACCCTAGGCACAAAATGAAAATAAATACTGTACATTGTGCAGACGCCCATTACCATACTCTCCTTTGCTGAAATGCCCAACCCAAATATCAAACACCGAATTCATTTTTGAAAGTTTTGAAAACATATACACAAGATCGTACTTAGGTGTTTAGGAATATAAGTGTATACATAATATAATATGCATATATGTATATAAACACAATTAATGAAAAAAAAGAGGCCATGAATTTGAAAGAAGTATATGGGAAGGTTTGGAGGGAGGCAGGGCAAACAAAATGACGTAATTATATTATAATCACAAAAGATAAAAGAATAATTTTGTAAAGCACTAAAAATAATGTAAGAAAGGAGACTGAGGGACAGTCACATACATCAAGTCTCAGAAGGACACACCGAAGTACAATGCTTACGGGACTTTGGAGTCTGGGCCTTCAAGGAAGGGAACTGTGCTCATTTTTCCAGCCTAGAGGAGCAATTCCAAAGGAGGCACGTTTTGCATTGGCTCAGTTTCAGACCCTGTCTTCTGTGACTTACTGGGCGATGGGGCGAGGGAGAACATGATGTAAGGAAAACAGGGTGAGCACAGCTTATGTCATGGCACCCAGGAAACACAGAGATAACAGAAAGGTGCCTACACCAAGATACATGCCCCATAGGCACACTCTTATTGATGCACTTCCTCCAGCTTGGCCCCAACTCAGACAGTCTCCATTGCTTCCCGGGAGTGCCATCAAATTACAAATCCACCTATGGGTTCACGTAGTGATTAGGTCGGAACCCTTGTGGTCCAATCACTTCTCCATGATTAACCTGCCTGAAACTAATCCTTACACTTATAAGGCTTCTGGAGATAGCGATTTAGATCCAAACCATAAAGATAAAAAAAAGTAGGATTGCACAAAATTCATCACATATTGCTTTGGAATTCAAAGGAGAAGAGAAGCGAGACTTAGTGAGACTTGATGAAGGTTGATCAGGAGGAAGTCAAGACTTGCTGAGTCGTAGCTATTCCTATGCTAATAAAACCCAGCTCCTGACCTAGGCTTGTCTTCCTTGGGCAAAATTTCCTTGCAACAGCCAAGTCAAGTTGATAGAGAAAGTCTAATCGTATGTAGTATTAGCACAAATCATGTCCAGTGTCACTATTAACCAGCTACTTCCCCTTCCATGTGAGAAGTCCCACTCACAGCCGCAGCCGGCAACGATCAGGCATATAGCTAGCTGCCTATGTGTCTGCATCGACGTTATTTAAATAGAACCTATTTTAAAGAGACTTTTTTTTTCCTCAAAGACTATCACTGTTTGACAAAGGCTTTAACAGACTCAGAAATATCTTCAATGTGACTTGTCGGTGAAGTTTTTACTCCAATAGCCACAGATAAGTCATTTCACCTGCAACAGTGTATCCTGGCAACCAGAGTAAAGAGCATCATGCAATCCATTCACTACTTCGATGTCATCATTAATAGGCTAAATTTGTAGACATATTCATGAAGAAGCTTGAATTTAGAATTTTATTCGGGGCTCGGGGGAAAGACAAGTTGTTAGGGGAGCTCAACAAAGATGACACACTCAGACACAGTGTATACAGCCAATTGAAACTCTTCATTCAAGCCAGCTGGAAACACATCCAAGTGTTTGGGAGACCTAGGTGTGGCCCCTACTGTCCAAAACACAAGGCTTTTTAAAGGCAGAAACCACGCCCTGGCATCTCACAGACTGCAGGAGGGACGGTAGCAGAAACAAGCAGTATAACAAAAGCTAAGACAAGCGGTTAACGGGAGGGGCTCCTCACAAACAGGCAGTTTAACAGAAGCTAAATGACCTAGGCCATCCTAACCTTGGGTTCCTGGAATAAATAGAGTTGGGGAGTTTTCCGTGGGATCTCCATCAAGGAGCTCAAATTCTAGTTAAACCTGAAATGACCACAGCAAGAATACAAGACCTCTGGTCTGTCTCGCCCCAGGACAGAATAATTCTGAATGAGTTAAACGGGGGAAGAATTATTGATGCAGACATAATTTGCACTGAACCTAAAGTATGAGATGAGGAATCGATTCATAGCAACAAAATAATCGTTCGGTTCTATTGAATTTGGACCACAATTACATCAGGCATTTAGTCATCTGCTAGGTGAACTGTATTTTTTCATTTTCAGCATGCAGCTGTGGCATTTATGTGCCACAATCAGAAATATTTTATAAGCTATTGGTATGAAAAATACTAAGGCTCTCTCTGGCCATATTTACTAATGAAAGAAAATCTATAAGGATATATTTTAATTCGAAAGAAGATTTTAATGTTACTATTAAGAGGTAAAAAGAACCTATTGTCTGGCACACCTGTAATTCCACCAACTCCAGAGACTTGAGAAGAAAGTGCTAGGCTAGTCTGACCTCCCTATACAGGAAGATACTATCTTAGAATTAAAATTAAAAATAACATGTAGCTTTTCTAAGGTTTCCCAGATTTTCATTTTTTGAAACAAAACTAATTTCCATAGATACATCTATTTAATAGGGCAAATAGTTCTAAGATGTACAGCTCTCTCTTTTTTAATTCAATGGTAAATCATAGGCACAAATAAGGCATATGGTGCAAATCCGGTATCTTAAGCCATCCACACCGGGGAATAAACTGTATGCAAGAGCAGATGTATGTGACAGGAGCCGCTGGCATGAGTAGTCCGAGGTGTGGTTAAGGGGGAAGGTTTTAGTTTTGCTTCGTTTTGATTTATTTTTGAGATAGAAACCAGCCAGAGGCATCTGGAAAAGTCCAGAGCAGAAGAACAGACATGACCGGGGCTAACTGCAAGAAATGGGAAAACAGGGGATAGGGGATAGAGAAAACATGCTGAAAATGGCAGGGAGTTAGAGGAGTGAGAAACATTGGGTTATGAGAGGGATGAGCAGGAAGGGCAGGGAAGTCCATCCGCTGGAGGGGTTTCCGGTACAGGAGGAAGTGTGAAGGGCTGGAAAGTCAGCATGGACTTGAGGTATATAACAAGTACTGTGAGTAGGGACTGAGGGAGCCTGAGGCTACCTTGATATAGCAATATGTGCTGGAGGTTATACATCAATGGGAAGCTATTATGTTCCTCTGCCAGAAGTAAGGGAAATGACTCCTTATGGCAGATGGGGACTGGGTTTCCACAAGTTGCTGAGGAACGCTAGCTTTTTATCTGACTGCCAGAGATCCTCTGTAATCCAGGTTGAGCTCATTCCCGGATAGTTAGACTGCCTTTTAGAGTTTGGGGAACTGGAGTTTCCTTTGGACCTGGCACAAACCAGTTATATTGTGTGGTTTGGTCTTGAAATTTATTTTAAAATGAATGGTTGGCTACTGGTGGGCTTTGGAGAGAGCAATGGTTGTTTGTACATTGTGCAAGCCAGATGAGTCATAGAAGCGACTAAATTTGAAGTTTCTTCTGTCTCTGAAATATTAAAGCTCTGAACCAGAGATAGGAAAGGTATTTAATGTTCAAGAGCGCTAATCATTAAAATAAAATAATTAAAAAAAGAAAGTATGATGACTCACATATAGAACTTGCCTTGAAGGGGAGAGAGGCAAGGTCAAATAGTGTGTCTTAGTCAGGATTACTGTCTGTCCCTGGAAGGAAACACCATGACCAAAGAAAGATGGGGAGGGAAGGGTTTAGTCAGCTTATGCTCCCACATCACTGTTCATCATCAACGGAAGTCAGAACAGGAACTCGAGCAGGGCTGAAACCTGGAGGCAAGAGCTGAGGCCATGGAGGAGTGTTGCTTACTGGCTTGCTCCCCATAGCTTGCTCAGCCTGCTTTCTTATAGAGCCCAAAACCATTTGCCCAGGACCCACAATTTGCTTGACCCACCCCTATTGATCGCTAATTAAGAAAATGTCCTACAGCCAATCTTACAGAGGCATTTTCTCAGCTGAGGTTCCCTCCTTTCAGATGACTCTAGTTTGTGTGTCAAGTTGACATAAGATCAGCCAGCACATAGTGAAAACACAAATTCTATAAGAAGTTTTCCTGAGGTGCTGTCATTGTAAAGAAATGTGTTACTGGGGCTCAGTGGTTAAGAGCACTGGTTGCTCTTCCCAAGTACTCAGGTTCAATCCCCAGCACCTGCATGGCAGCTCAGAGCTGTTCGTAGCTCCAGTTCTAGGGGATCGGACACCTTCATACAGACATACATGCAGGCAAAACACCAATAGACTAAAAATAAAAAAATGAATACAAAAGAGAAGAAACGGGTTACCAAGTTCTTCTGTGAAGAGGGCGAAAACAGTTCATAAATAGTAGAGTAAAAACCTAATCAAAATCAGACAATTATTGGTCACAGTATTCTAAATGTGATTTATATTTTAAAATCAATAAAGTTTTGTAGAAATAAAGCTTATTGTACATAACCCCTATTTTCCTGTTAGTATGGGCATAAGAAATCGATGGTCTGAGTCAGAGTAATTCATTCTACAGAAAGGGTTTGGTAGGAGAGAGTCTTTCTTCCCGCTCCTGTCTTTCCTGTTCAGGGCCACCCATAGTTCTGTTTGTTGGTAGTGCCAATGCTTCCTCAGCATTGACCTTTCCTACAGGTCATGACTATTTAAGACTATCTTTCCCCTTTCTGCATGTCTTGCAGACTTGAATCCCAAATGACAACAGACATCCAGACTATCTTACAGCTCCTGCAGAAGCAAAGCACGGTGGTCCCTCCAGCCTACAGCATGGTAACCGCAGGAGCGGAGTACCAGAGACCTGTCCTGCGGCTGCTGAGAACCAGTCAGCCCAGAGCATCCATTAAGACTGACCGGAGTTTCAGCCCCTCCTCCCAAGTGAGTGTGGACACGGTAAAGCCAAGAGTGTCTCCTTGAGTGTATCTCCCGGGTCACACTGGGAAGTAGGAATTTCCATTTCTATCTGCTTCTGCTCAGAGTTTCTGGAAACTGGACCTGTGTTTTTGCATTGTGTCCTTAAAAATTTGCAAGCAATGGATTTAAAGAAAAATTTAAACAGTACCAATGACATATGTGTGTGTGTGTGTGTGTGGATATGTGTGTGTCTGTGTGTTGCTGGGAGTGGGTGGTAAACGCCAGAAGATAAGCATCAGGTTTCTCTCTAGATCGTTCATCTTATTTTTTGAGACAAGCGTATGCAACATTGTGTGTTATTCTAAAGGCAGCTCTCTCAATGCACCAACGACACTAATTTGGCTAGACTTGCTGGCTGGTGACCCCCAGGGAGCCTCTTGTCCCTACCTCCCCACTGCTGGCATTACAGGTGCACAACACCCAACTCTTTATCCTGTGCTTTCATGCGTTAGGACAGCGCCTTTCCCTAGACAGTGACAGTTATCTAAGAGGAGAGGCTATTACTCAAGAATCAACCTGAATGGACTGGCACACTGTATAGATTTTAATGGTGAGGAATCATGCTTGGTGAATTAAAATTCAAAAAGTACATCAGAGAAAAACCTGGCATTTCCTACAATGCCACAAGGCAGGGTAGGGAGGCCTTGGAGAAGAAAAGAGTGGGCAGGTAACTGGGCTGGATCTGAGGTTCAAATGCAGCCAGACAGATGTGGCAAACACATTTGTGCCCCACTGGCCACCAGGTATCTCTAAGTTTTTACCACTTGAATGATAATATCTATGGTAGGACAAAATATGTGACTCTAATCGTCTAAGAGTGCCCCCTCTCTGTTCCTTCAGCATCATGGGCAAGGGAACCTAAGAAAGACTATTTTGATAAGAATGTATAGACACTCTTATGTACATTTCTGCGTGGAAACTGAATGTAAAATTTTCTAGGAAATGAAACATGATAACAGAAGCCACTGTGTCAAAAGGAAAATAATGATACTTTTTACAAAATGTCGATGTTAGTTCAGCTCTTATAGGTTTTGAATGGATGGGAAATACACACAACGTGTTTTATTCTTTGCAGCTGGTTAAGGCAGTGGTTTCTGACAGGAATGATGTTTTATTTCCTTTGTTGCTTTCCTTCTTAGATAACACTAGTCAGCAAGAGACATTTATTAATCCAGTCCTAAATTTTCAATTAAAACCCACTTATACACAACTCAAAGTGAATAGTTTTTTATTGTTGTTGTTTGTTTGTTGTTGTTTTTTAAATTGAACCTTTAAATCTTATTTCAGGGTGAAATTAAAATTCTTCACTTGAGATAAGAGACCCTTAATTTTAGGGCTCTGTTTTTGGAGAGAGGTGTTGGCCAGTACATTTAACCACATACAGCGAATGGGGAAAACAAACACATCTGGATCACACACATCATTTTAGTTAGCTTTTGGAGTAAATTATGAAAGCATATTTTCTTTTCTTTCCATCAGTGTCCTGAATTTCTAGACCTTGAAAAATCTAAACTCAAATCCAAAGAATCCCCCTCAAGCGGAAGGCATCTGAACACAGCCTCAGAAGAAAAGTTGACTTCACCTTCAACACAAGACGGCGATGTGTCTGTAGAGCTTCACCCACGGCCAAGGAAAACCTACCTTCATCCCATCCGGCACCCGTCTCTGCCAGACTCTTCCCTAAGCACTGTAGGGATCCTGGGTCTCCATAGGCATGTCTCTGACCCTGGTCTTCCAGGAAAGTAATCCTTTTGTACTATTTCCTCCACATCCAATGTAAGTGCTTTTAATGGCTGTTTTCCTTTTTGTATTTAAATCCTCTCTACTTGACTCAGGGGCTCACAAGGTACCATTATATGCAAAAGTACTGTATATTTTTCCTAAATTGAAGCTTGTAGGGTAAAGTTGAGCAGTTAGGACGTAAATATACATTAAGAGCTTTTGGTTCCAAATGTTCAAACTGCCAGCATCTCAAGGCACCTTATCTTTTTGATTTTATTTTTGAAATCATGTGCATGCTAGGAAACTCCAGTTTCTCTTGCATGGAGACTCCTATTTGCCGCTATTACTGAATCAGTGCTTGATTATGAAAAAGCCTTCCAGCAAATAAGAAACTGAGGAATGAAAATGGTCAGGATTGCAACTCAGATGATCCTCCACTCACGGGATCTCAAGGGGGGGGGGGGATAGAGGGAAGTTAGTCACTTTGGAGAACGAATTTCCTTCTCTATTGACATGTTTATAGTTACTTACCTTCATTTCCTAGAACAATAAAAAAGAGGTTGGACTTACACGTATTAGAAAGGAAGCTAAATCCAAAAGCACCAAAGGATATGGTTCCTTCTAAATAGATTTGTAGTTTATTAATATAAACTCCAGACCACTGTGGAAGAAAACACCTGTGAGGTTTCCTCAGGAACTCAGGCCCTAGTTTCATGGCCCAGGTTTAGAAGACCTTCAGCAAGAGCCCTCATTTTGGAGAAGTAACAGCAAAGCTGTCCCAGGAAACTTCTGGCAGCTGCAGTCTCTGGGCCAGTGAGCAATCTATCCATAAGGAGTCTCTATATCCTGCTTTTAGACAGGCAAGTGGGAGGAGAGGAGAGACCTTTGTCTTTCTGCCCTACGTTTGGACAGACTGAGGAGGCGCACTGCTTCCCCAGGTTGTCTTCAGCTAAACCATTATGAATACAGGACAATATCAGTGAGAGAATAAAACAGGCTCTAGCAAATTCTTCAGGAGCTTCATTCACAAGCTTCCTAAAATATTTACAATAGCATATATATTAGAAGAATATATTCTAACACCTTTGAGTGCTAGATACTGTTTTGGAAAAGGAGATGGCATTTGGATTGCAAAATCAACACAGGAAAAAATACAATTTACAATTAATGATGGGTCAAACTCTAGTTAAATTTTATTTTCAACTCAATTATAATCTTAAAATTATTATATACTAGCCCTTAGCTTTCTTTTCTCCTGAACAAACACCTAGAAATTTGTTGGGAGCCTCTTGGTTTTTCTAAAAATTCTTATGTTCCCACAGAGTTTTAAATAGTAGTTTGTCTGCACGTTATTAAATGGTTGAATTTTCTTTCACTTTTGACACTAATCGTTAATCTACTTCAAATGCAAGCAATTTATTAAATGCATATAACACTATTCCTCTATTTAAATTGTGATGAGAGTGACCTTAAGCTGTGCTCTATATAATTTTAAGCAGTCACAGAGTTTGCCAATCTGATCTGAGTAAACCTGTGTATAGGGCACGCTCTATTCTCACTTAAGAAAAGTAATCATAAGTGATTGTGTACTTATGGCAAAAGACCAGTGAAGTCAACCAAAGTATAATAATTAGAATGGGTGCCGGGCGGTGGTGGCGCACGCCTTTAATCCCAGCACTTGGGAGGCAGAGCCAGGCGGATTTCTGTGAGTTCGAGACCAGCCTGGTCTACAAGAGCTAGTTCCAGGACAGGCTCCAAAACCACAGAGAGACCCTGCCTTGAAACAAGAAAAAAAAAAAAAAAATGGACTTCCCAAATNGAGAGAGAGAGAGAGAGAGAGAGAGAGAGAGAGAGAGAGAGAGAGAGAGAGAGAGAGAGAGAGAGAGAGAGAGAGAGAGTCCTGTAAGTAGCGAACAATCTAGATGTGGATTTAGAGATCTTATTTCCATATTGGGACACATTTCTGCAGCTGCAACACATTTCCTAAGGACTATTCTGCCTAAGCTCCACGGGCATTCCGGATAGATTCACCAGAGATTGCTCATTTGTAAGGAGGGAGGATTTGGCAGGTGAGGAACTGAGATCTGATTGTTTGATCTGATTAGCGAATGCTTCAGCTGCAACATTTGGCATGGCGTGCATGCGATTCGGCCTATTTGAAGCCTCCATTTGTACTTCTCTATAAAAACTGGGCATGCAGGAAAAGGAAGACAAGGGGTAGTATACAAGCATCCAGCTGGCTTAGATTCTAGCACAATCCAAACCCCTTCCCTTCTTAATTCCTCCACATAGAATAATTGTTTGCTGTTTAAATCGTAAATCTCGGAGGATTGGGTAGCGTTTCTTTTTTACCCCACAGAATATTAATTTTAAAGGTTCCCAAGCAACATAAACATACACGTAGTCGTAAATGTCAGATAAACACTTGAACTGACTTATGGATAACAAAAGCAATCATCCTGACACACAATTTGCATTCCCTTGTCCCAGCCGAAAATAGCTTTAAAATAGCATTTCCCTACTTAGCACCCACAGTAAATGCAATCTGCCACCTCCAACTTGGGGTCCTGCCTAAGGCCGGGTCTAAATGCTACACCAGCCTAAAAGCAGCCCAGCTTGCCTTGGGAAGAATTAGAAGCACTGACATAACACCTTTGCCTTTAACCTAAAATTATTATCGGTTCCATGCCCTTAAAAAAAATGCTGTCTTAAAGTTTATTTGACTGAGATGTTCTCCTGCTGCTATTAATTGCTGGACAGAGAATTGCCTCTAAGACTCATCATTTTATCCCAGAGGGGAGTCCACTACTTTAATTAGTTGATGAGAAAACCAGGAATAAAAAAAGACAGAAGTGACCCTTTTAATATAATAGTCACTAATTCAACAAAACAGGGGAAAGCAGGGGGCCAATTTGAGAGAACGTAAATTTCAAGTCCATTATAATGTACTGGCCTTCAGAATTAAGTTTTCTACTCTTCTAGTCAGGTGTAGTGACACTAGGAATCAGGTTTAATACCTGTTAGAGCTCAAGGCTGTGTGGCCTTGAACTTGTACAATGGCCCCAAAATACCCAGGAGAAAAACCTTTCTATCCCAATGTCAATTTCCAGTCACAATTTAAACATTATAGGCAAGGATGAGATGTATCACATCCTCAGTATATATAAAAGAGTAACTCAAATATGTAACATGCTTTATATCAGGGGGAAAAAAGCAATTCAGTAGATTAATTAGCTAGAAATGAACTGCAACTGGCTATAATTTAACATAGAGGACTCTATATTGTTGATTCATGGATAAAATCAAAACCAGAAAACAAGCTCCCAGTGTGTTAATGGGCTTGTCATTCAATATTTAAAACCTTTAGATAAAAAAAATTGAGTAGCTATTTCATTTTTAATCCCAGTTTTGTAGTAACATAAACATGTCAATACTCTGCATTCCAAGAGGTCCTGGGAAGACAGCTTGGCTGTGGGGTGTCCGCAAGCTGTCCTAAGATGGCAGGGCTCACATCACCTCAGAACTTGGAAACGAAAAGTTCTGGGTCTCATCCCAGATCCCATTTAAAAAAAAAAAAAAGTGAAGGCTGGGACTCAGCACTGGTTCAATGAGCTCTCCTTAGCATGATCTGTGTGCGAACTGAAACACAGAGGTCCGCAAAGTGTCCCCTGTCATCAGGCCAACTCAAGCCTAGCAGCTCTTCTTCCGTTCACACGCCGTGTGGCCCTGAGTGAATCTCCCTGAGTTTTCTCCTGAATCTTAAAAAATGAGATGATAGTTCTTGACTCACAAAAGTCCGAGGAACAAAATCGAATAAAGGAAAGTGCCTGGCACAAAGTAGGTGCTCAAAAAAAAAAAAAATATCCTAAAATTACCCCCCCGCGCGCGCCGCCACAAGAAACACATTAAAAACAATTAAGAAGAAAAGTTTTCTTTTGAACAAGTGCTAAGTAACTGAATCGCTGTTCCCATGACGAAGGCTTTTGATTCTGAAAAAATGTAACTGTAGCTACCATCTTCCCTTAACTTTGTGCTATTAGCGCTGCAGCTTTAAAGAAAAAATATTGATAATAACGACAGTGAGAATATGATTCCCACGGTCAAAAAACAGTAATTGCTCTGAATTAATGTCGAATTCTGCACTGTGCAGTGTCTGCTTGGATATGAGTGTTCCCACATGGCTATTTCAAACTCTTTACAAAATACAGTCCAATTTGAAAGTAAACACAATTCTGTTTTTACAAAAACTAGACCTTCCCAGGTAATGGACGTTAAGCACCCAGCTCCTTTCCCTCGTCGCACAGGGGCATTCAGAGTTCTCGTGTGGAATGCTGGAAATGGCCAAAAGGCTCAGCATGGTAAAGCTGAAATCAAATCCTACCTATCCCATTTATGGTTGAGGAAAAGCCCAGAGTGACCCGCAGTATCCAAAACCATGTAAATACAAGCGACTTTTGAACTTCTCTCTGAAATGTACATATGGAGGTGTGTGGAAACCAGGCCCTGTGTAAAGATGCAAATGCATCCTGGGGCTTGCACGGCGCCACACAGTGGTGTTCAGGTAGTGGTACGGCAATGATTGACACGTGATTTTCTGTCTTGCCTCCACCCAGCTCTCCACACTGACACTCAGTATGTAACAAACCCCCAAAGTGGTTTTCATGCCCCTGCCAACGATGAGGTTGCTAAAAGGAAACAGGATTGGAGGGGCCACCTCTTCTGCCTTAGCTCCCAACACCTATAGACACATCCACAATGCAGATGTGCAGATGTTTTCTCGGTTTTACATAGGTTGCCCCTTCTCTCCCTGATGCCCCAAATGTTCTCATTTAGAGCTGCGTGCTTCTGTTTCTTCTTGAGCTGGTGTTAGTCTTTTAAAAAACTAAAGGCAAATATTTTCAATGCTTTATAAAATGTTAGGTATCATGACTAAACAAGGTCCGCTCATGCCTAGAATGTCATTATATTCTCTTGTGGCAAAATACACTTTGTTTTAAAGCCCAGTGTGTATATATATACATATATATGTATATATATCATAGAAGTATACGGTATATATATATATATATATATATAATAGAAGACACAGACTGACATTTAAGAGCATGAGAAAAAAAAATCTACCACAGATTATTTCGTTGACTAGTACGTGCAAGTTTGAGAGATGACTAACTGGGAGTTTTTTTAAACTACCATGATATAACTATAAATGAGAATAAAAAAATCACAGAAATGGAAAATGTATTCAAAACTATACACCCAGTTGACCCAGTCCATCACTTTTACCAGTCATGATCAAACCTGTAAACAAACACAGTAAAGATAACCGCAATATAGTGCTCCCAATTAAATATTTTCATTGTGCGGCGTGGAAATGTGAACATGGCTGTTCTTTTAAAAGTAATGTCAAGACTTAGATTAATTCCCAAACTGTGTACTCATGTCATCTGGGACTCCCCTTAGTTAACGTGTTTTGTGAGTTGTGAAATAATTGGGGACCCCTGCGGTTTCAAAGCGTTCCATGCTTAACTCACATTCTCTGGGCTGCTTCTGGTGTAATATGACGCAGTTTGAAAACTCCCACATGGGAATAACCACAACTGTGAGCACTTCAGCTGTATTCGTTTTCATTTTGATTTGCATTGTTTGCGGGTGCAGAAGCATAGTCTACACCACGTTCCTTATCCCTAACTAGAAGGAAACTTGAAGGATGGATAGAGTTGTGTGACGAGCTCTCCCCACATTCTCCTCGTAGAGTTATGACAGCAACGGAATGGCATGGCGCCCTTCTCCCAAGTGGTACAAAAACACAATAAAAAATATCAAGAAATCCCTACTTTGTGCCTAGGTGCCTATGGATTTGAATGAAAGGCCCAAGACCTCTTTATAGCTGAAATGTTCAGCTTATAATGCTGATGAGAGAATATATTATCCCAGAAGGCTTGCCAGTCAGTGAATAACGTACTTCAGAAAAGAATATGTGTGATCACTTGAAAACGTGATCTGATCTAAGAAAGCTCACTCACATCCTGTTACATAGAACTTGGGAATGCTTTAAACGAAACGAAACCATCGACCAAAACACATACTACTTCATAGTCTTTATGCACATAATGTAGCATGGAATCATAATGCTTTTGAAATATTCTGTGCAGAAATATTTATTTTTTAGCCAATATTTTCCTCAAAGATTGGTATGTGGTGTTGACAGTGTAATCTATTTGCACAGTTAGTTTTGCAATAACCTTCTACAAATAATTGTACATAAGAAAAATGTAAATTTCCTGTAAAAAATGGTTGCAACATTTTGGTAGCTGAAAGAAGTATACAAGTTGTATTGAAAATATAGTATGTATATATATATACCTAATTCAAGAATGAAACATAATTTATGATCTATTTATACATGAAAAATTCAAGAATTTGTAAAAGAATTTATTTTGGGGGAAAAGAAAGTAAATCTTATTAGCTAGCTAGTGTACTTTTAATAGAGAAGCCAACAAATTCCAACATTTTATTAGGTACAGCTAGATACAGGCATGGTGGTGCTGATCAATTCGAAATTCACATCGTTGTAACAGTGCTACAGTTTTACCGAAGCCCAGTAGACCAAGAGCAAGCTGGGCTGAGTGGCGGGAGCATTAAATCTGAATGGAAAGAACTCAGAAACATTTTACTTATTGCTCCATCGGAACCATGGTCGCAAATGACTGACATGTTTCTTGTTCACTAAAATTTTCTGAAGAGTAAATGGCCTTTAACATGCATTCAAAATAGCTCATTGGTAACGAAAGCTTGGCTCATCTTTTCACTCAAGAATAACAGTATGCAACTACGATTTCCTCCTGCTTCAGTTTCTTATGGGCTTCGTTTCTCCCCTAGTTGCTTTTGTGTCAGTTAAGAAAATACGTACTATCCTCAAAGACACTTCTGAACAAAAGCTGGTTGGCTCCGACACAGCATGCGCTAAGGGTAGCACTGTCTGTGTAGTGGCATAGATTCTTCATGCTTCATTCTTAAGATGTAAGAAGTCCAGAGCACACGTCCCCATGTATTAAAAGTAAAAACCAAACTTATTACAGATAGCAGGAAATATTACATTGCCCTCTGTCAGAGACACTGATTGTGAAGTCAGATCCCAAGTACAGAAGGCAAAATGCCTGGAAACATCCCACTGTGTAATTATCTCTTCTCCTACGACACATTTGAGGGTCCCGCATTTACACAACTGAGAGAAATTAAATAGGCATAAAAAGTCCAGTAAATCCTAAAGTCAACTTTAAATGGCCTATCATTTACAAACTAACAAGACTCTTTAATTAGGGGGTTTCTAGAACAGTGACATCCTCACCGTTCAGGTTACCTTTGGCAATTTCAATAATCATAGAAAAATAAGATAACTAAATAAGCAGTACAGACAATTAAATCGAAATGGCTATATGCATGTGTCTATATATTTAGATGTTTATGCTTAGAGAAAAGGTTATACTCCAACCCCCAGTACATCAGAATTGGAAATCCACCATCCCTGGCTCACACATCTCTCCATAAAGCTATTCAATGAAGCTCTGTAACTCCTTGATGTTAATGAAGGGGCTCACCTGACCACAAGAGCAGCACATGGGCAAAAACCCTGTCCGTTTTCTAACTGTGGTGCGCGGTAGGCAGGTAGAAGCATGCTGTATGTCTACTTACTATATGTTCAGACTGACAGAAGCAAGCCTGGGTTTTAATATACTGCGCTATGTGTAATAAAGCTACTTGGATTAAAGGAGTGATAAGAGCATATGTTCTTTCCTTTGTAAGAAGGAAAAGTTTGTCTAAAAACAAGAAGGGGACTTGATAAGGAGGATTCTGAGCACGGGTTTCCTAGCATCCAAAGGACAGACCGATCTAGAGTCAGAAGGGGTCCCTGAGTTCTCCACGTGTCTTGCTAGCTACTCTTCTCACTGTTTTAAATTACAAGGAAATTTTAATCTAATATATGGAGAGATGTCTTGATATTGTTCTAAATGAGAAATGAGAATGGTATTCATTTAAAATGCTGTCTGCATTCTCCACCTCACAGATGTTCTAAACATCTGCATTGTACCCACAACGTAAGTCCATACTCTCCAGACATAGTGTAGAGGATACCTTAGCCTTAGGCAGTTATTTGAGGAAGCTTAACTCACTACATAAATGATTGCATTAAGACAAACAAAAGAGATCTTTTCAAGCAAGTACCAAAGTAATAAAAGAGCCATGGTTGAGTTTTATAATTTTAACCAGGGGATGTGATAATCAAAAGTAGTTTGGAATTCTGAGCAATGGGTTCAATTTAGAGATTATTAAAAACATACCCCTATCAAATTTACAGAAAGCTGTTCATGAAGCAGGACAAAATATATCCATTTTAATTTGTCAAAGATAAAAGGACATTTTTAAAAAAGCACATTTCTCATAAGTAGTATTTATTTTGTTTGTTCAATTAGTACTATCATAAGATTACAAGTGAACTTGATGTGTATATTTTAATTAAGGAAATAATCACAAATTGATTTTGTTATTTTTTTAATTGCACAGAGTTTAAACTACCTTGATAAATTCTACTTTCTTCCAGGGTAAATGCCTTTTCTGAAAATAAATATACAACTTGAATATGTATTTGTTCCTTTTTCTGAGTGCATGCCTCAAATAGGTTAATGAGCACAGTCCTTAAAAGACATTTTCAGTGGACCAAATCGAGACTCCCCCAGCACTGATTTGCCCTGGATGTAATTTGAAATGTGTAAACTGCCACTCAAACTAGAAGTGCAATACCTGACATCTCATCACTTGGCAATCTTTTAGATAACAGCTGAATTAACGCACCGTTGTTGAACTGACGCATCTCATAACAGGACATATGTAACAAATTTTGTATGATACAAAACTTTACAGCAAGCTATTTGAATGTTTATTAAAAAATTCTCAAAATGACATGGAAACATGTTTACTGTATAAATAAAAACACTTATACATCACGAGTGTCCATTCTTCAATAATTTATAACATCATACTGTGGCTTCATTTCCCGACAATGGCTTCAGATTCTGTACATTCAATGGTTCGGCTAATATTCTTTCAGGTTATCAAATATGTGGTCATGAAACACAATCAGAGGACAGTTTGTGTGGCGTATCCATTAGTCAGTCTTTATAAAACTGACCAAATGTATTTAATAGCAAACTATAGGGAACCAGTGTCAAAACGATTAGGCATCACTTCTTTACCCGAATCTTTTCAAGTAAAAGCATTTTTACATTTTTTCTGTAATTATAAAAGAGGTTTGCCCGTTAAAAAACATGGTGTTTTCTTTAAAAAATATTTAATTTGGTCACCAGTTAAACTAAAATTATATCTATTTGCATTTTTCTTCAGCTAGATATATATTCAGTTAAAATATATGACAATTTAGTGATTTATCAAATCTTCATTAATAAAGACAGGTGTCTTCCACATTAGAAACGAAATGACCTCTGACACCTTATACCAGAGAGAGGATTTAGTGCAAAGAACTTGATGACTACTTGAAATCTCTATAGAAAATTTCACCAGAAATGCTGCTAACAGGGTCCACAAAGGAAAAAAAAATCAAAACACTTCTTGGTACACCCATACCCACACATTGACACACACACACACACACACACACACACACACACATACACACACACGCGCATGCGCGCACACATTCATGCCGTTAATTCAACACAGAATTCCTGAACAGTAGCGGATCACATGAATTTTTTCTCATTTTATAAACTGTCGCCATCACCTAGGGGCAGCACGGGTTTAAAGAGGAAACAGGAATAAGTGCTGACACTTCACTAAAATCTGTCATTCTCCAAAACTGGTTGATTTTGAGAAAGAGGACACTTTAGGTTATCTATGCCACTGCTAAGAAAAGAGAAAGATATCTTCATTTTCAAATTTTAAGGCAGGCACACGTCTGCACGCCTTGAACCTCCATACACAAAGTGGGCAAGACAGGAGGACGATGGGTTTGTGACCTATTGGGCCATCTAGAAAGATCCTGTCTCACAAAACAAAGCTAAGCAGAAACAAAGGTGTTAAAAAGAAGAAAAAAAGAAAAGAAAATAGGAAGACAACAAAATATTTTGTAGAAAAATAAACAATGAAATAAAAAAGGTAAAACAATACCTACTACCGTAGGCTGACAGGCTCAAATTCAGATAGTGTTTGGAGCTACAGATTTCTTATTCATAGGTCAAGAACATGAGGTTATGTTCTCTGGTGGGGTAATCAAAGCCAAAGCCAGCAAATGTGCAGATGTCCCCTCTAACTGACTTACTTCCAGAAACAGCTACAGACGTGAACAAAATCAGAAGTACAACTTGTAGCCTTTAGATAACATGATTAAGTTTTATCTAGACTTTTGTTACTTGGCTTCATAGACAATCTGTCACGTAACTACATTTCTATACACTATTATTGTTAAAAAACGAAGGCTCAGGTGCGCTGATATCAATCAACTACATATCATTAGCAACATTTCAAGATGGCGTGCATATATCTGCAACACCGTAACTTTTCCGAAAAAATAATATATCCCAAATAAAAACGTTATTGCATTGAACTGTGCTTTAAGGTAAATTAACAGGAAGGGGACGGAGCTTTAACAGGAAGGGATACAAAAAAGTTCATCAAACTTCTAGTTTTAGGTAGTCCAGTCTGTTTCAGTGAAGCAGAAGGATTCTTCAGTATTCACCTTTTCAATGCTACGCTGTCAAATGGTCATAGTGCCCTGCAGAAACTAAGACACGAGGGGCGTTATCATAAGGCAACAACAGTGGTTTTGTTTTAAATGAACTGTATTCCATGAGAACATTTACTATAAGAAAATGAAACTGTTTAAGACTTATAATTCAGACACATACATATCGATAAAGTATTGTCTACCATATACCTTCCATTAAGAAATATAACAAATCCAGAACAAAACTTCTAAAGCACCAAAGCACACATGAAAACCACTAGCTTCAATTAGGAACAATTGGAAGTGAGTTCATGAGGAGTGTTTGAATTGAAAGAGGAGCCGCTTCATATTTTGTCACTGAAAATATTCTCTCTCTCTCTCTCTCTCTCTCTCTCTCTCTCTCTCTCTCTCTCTTTCTCTCTCTCTCTCTCAGGAAAAAATAACTGCAAGTTAACAACTCTTCATGAAAATAATGCTAGTGATTACCACTAAATTATTGGAAAAGTAAACTCCAAACATGTGTCATGCAATTTTTACAGTATACCAACAATAACTTTACATTTGCATTAGCAAGAAATGTGGGAAACAACGTAGCCAGCCAAGATATTATTTTCAGGGTTTGTGCTCTGGATCAATTACTGGTTTTCAACATTTTATTGCATCTATATATTTATCAATTAATTGTGTGCATGTGTGTGTACACACTTGCATACATGTTCATGACCTCATGTCATGAAACATATGTGGAACTCAGAGGACAGCTTTCATAAGAATGTTTTCTCTTTCCATCACATGTGTCCTGGGACTGGAACTCAGGATATAAGATTGGTGACAAACATCTACATGTTAAGCTACCTTGCTGGTCCCATCACTTAATGTCTTTTCAATAACTAACAACGAAGTACCAATGTTACAGTGTATTCAGAATACTTACATCCTCATACATGAAGTTCACAATCCCTTGTTGCAAGTGATCTCTTCGCCTAAAGAAATCTTTACACACAAAAATGATGTTTTAGGATTATAATTGAAAACCCATTAATTCCCAGTGCCTGGTACTAAGACTGCTCATATCTTAAGTGTCTTAACATTCTAAGAACCGTAAATGGATAAATCTTCTAAAATTCAGAGATTCCAATGTTTCTTTACTTATATTCATATTTTAAATCCTTGAGACTGTTTAGATATTATAGTGAATAAAGAAGAGAAAACACTTATAATTTGCTAAAAGAAACAAAGACACTATTCAAGAAAAATGGCCACATAAATTGAATCCACTATTAAATGCTGAATACCTGTCAGGGCACGAAGTTTCACACAGCAGGCAACATAGTCATCAAAGAAAATTCTGCCGTTCTTGCTGTAGCGTTTAACAATAGCAGCCAGTGTCTGGGGACTCAACCTATAACCTAAGGAAGAAGACTGACACATTAAAAACTTCAAAGTTAAATACCATGAAATACCCAAAACACAGCTATTAATAAAATCATGAAAAAGAAATAACTTTCAAGTTTCTTTCTACACAAAATATATTCTATTTATTTTTGGCAGGACTGAGGGTTGCCTATCAGTGCTTACACATGGGAAAGAGGCAAGAACTCTACCTCTGAAACAATGCCCTCAAAAGCATATTTTTAAAACACATTAAATTAATATTAAAAAATGCTAAGACAAGAGATTTGTTAATAATCCCACCAAGTGGTACAGAGCTGACACAATTCTAACTTGGTAACACAATCGATTCTAAAGAAAGAAAACAATTATCTCCTCTGGCACCTAAAATATATTTATTTTTATGCCAGGCAAAGGTGGCACACTCCTTTAGGAGGCAGAGGCAGGCAGATCTCTGAGTTTGGAGTTTGAGGCCAGCCTAGTCTAGAGAATGAGTTCCAGGACAGTCAGGGCTAAACAGAGAAACCCTTTCATATATATATATATGAATGACACTAATCTAGCTAAAGATAAAAATCAGTACCAGAAGGAAAAACTCCATCTGTAGTTATTGTAAAATACAACCCAACCCATAAGGCTTGGGGTCAGGGAACTTCCTTAGGTTGTATTCCCAACACACAAAACAAAATAAATCATATATACAAAATAATATATGATTTCATATATGTAAGATACATATGCGAGATAATATATCTGTATGTACATACACACACACACACATATATATATACATATCTCCCAGAAAACATACTTAAAGTAAGAGTCATACCAAAACACACAAGTCGACCACGTGAAAGTGAATTTAGGCATCCTTCTAGTGAGTTTATGATCTGGATGTGGTATGAATACAATTCCTAAAATTTTGCCGTAACTTGAATAACTCTAAAGGTATTTGAAGGTGTTAAGTTGAAACAGTCTGGAAAAAAAAACTTAAATCTTTCATTACAGTTTGAGGGAACACACACAACACAGCAATTGTTCGTAGGTCAGAAGGCAACTTGGCAGGAGTCAGCTCTCTCCTCCCACCACAAGGGCCCTGAGAATCAAATTCAGGCCATTCAGTTTGGCACTAGGTGCTTTTGCAGGCCTCAGAAAAATCTTTTCTTACACTTGGATACTTGGTTGACCCCTTTGAACCATTTTACTTTGGGGGGAAAAAATACTACATTATTTTTTTTTTAAATAACACTATAAAAGTTTGAGTTGAATTGATTATTATTATGGATCTACAGCTAAACATATTTATATAGCCAGGATTTTCCCTAGATACAAAAACAAAATGCCTATTTATATAACTAACTTTAAAATCTTCCCTAGTTTGAGCTTTTTGGCATATAATTTAAACCCATGTGCCTTGAGCTTACATTTTAATTTTCAAAGAGATAATTTTTATGTAATACATTTTGTTTATAAATAACATACACAACATTATAAGATAAGAAAATTAAGAAAACTAATTAAAGTTAGGCAAAACTTCATAAATTATGGCCTACACTTACAACTCAGGAGATGGAGGCAGAAGGAACTCAGTAAATTAGAGGTAGGCCTGGGCTACATAGTGAGTTCCAGATGAGGCTGAGTTATAGAGTGAGCAGAGTGATCTTCTGCCTAAAAAAAAAAAAAACAGAGAGAGAGAGGGAGGGAGAGAGAGAGAGAGAGAGAGAGAGAGAGAGAGAGAGAGAGAGAGAGAGAGAGAGAAATAGACGGGGGCAGATAAAAGAGGGAAAGTACCATCGCATTACATGCTAGCAAATTAAGTATATATATATATATATAACCACTCTTTGCAAGTGAACCAAGAACCTTAGCCTATAAGAAGTACAATAAAAATAGTTACACCTTTTAAACTAATCTGAAATACAAACTTCCCACTTTGAAGTTTTTCCATACCTATCTCGTGTGTTCTAAATTGCGTGAGAAGAAAGAAGGAAAATGAAACAAATTATTCTTTGGGTTGAAAAGCTAGACTCTGATACAGACGTGTGTGGTTGACTGAGATAAGTCTTTCAAGAATAATTAAGAGTCCACCAAATTACAAACGAGTGGAATGCAGGTGGTGGATGCTAACATTAGGGATGATAATTAGATGCAAGGAATTAAGAATGAATGAAAGACTGCCTTTGGAAGAAACCTCAGACAAATTTACGGACTGGAGACGGGGCTCAGAGACATTTGTGCTGGTCTCAAACATGTAAGACTGAGGTTCAATCTTCAGTACGACAATAAAGTGAAGAAACAACAACAACGATTGTATTAGTGTCTTGGATCAGAATTTACTTACAACTGTGAGCCCAAATTGAGGAACACACTAACAGGAAACTTAGTACATTAAACAACTCAGATTCACAGTTTGTAAACCGAAAAGATCACTCAGCAATTAAGAACACTTTCTGCTCTTGCAAGAGGAACTAGGTTCAGTTACAAGCATGCATATGATAGCTCACAACCTTCTGCAACTCCAGTTCTAGGGAATCTGACACCCTCTTCTGGGTTCCTAGAGCAACAGGCACACCCATGGTACACATACAGACTTGCAGGCAAACACTCAAGCTCATAAAATAAAATAAACACATCTTTTATAAATATAAAAAATTCATAACTTGATCAATGAGCAAAGATGATTCTCCTGGATTCTAAACGACGCTCTTACCCATAAGAGTGATGGCTTGGCTCAGCTCGTGGTGTTCTACGGTGCCACTTTGGTCTTGATCAATGGTCATGAAGTTCTGCTTCCAGGCATTCAGCGCTGCCCAAAGCTCCTTGAATTCATTGAACCCCATTTTTCCTGTATAATCTCGCTAACAGTTTTATTAACAAAAATAAGTTTTGGTAGACGAGAGAATTTATCTGATCCTACACCCCAAATCACTAAAAAGGACATATTCTTGTATAGTTAGCTAGCAGAATCCGGTCTATGGATAGATTGCTGTGTGAAAATGTAATTATATAGACTTTAAGCAGAATCTTACAAAATACAGTTAGATCTAAAATAACTGACTTAAATGTTAAAAAGGCAATAACTCTATATTTATAATATAAAGATATTTTCCATCTTTATTCAAGGATACATCCAACATAGCAATCATAATTCTGCACGTTTCCAGACTGAAGGCTGCAAAAGATATTCAGTATTAAAATATTATATTATTCTCAGTTTTAACTACAAAACATCAGGATAATCTTCAGTTTCAAGAAATTTTTAAAAATTGCAAACAATCTAAAAGTCACGATTTTATATTTATTTTAAATATAAAATATTTATATGCCAATGTAAATATTTATATTAAATATTTATTGGCTGTTAAACACTTAGAATAATAACAATAAAATACATTTTAAAATGACTGTCTCCAAACTACTGGCACTAACTGAGGTCAGTAACCAGGTGAGCAGTTACAGAGTAGCATAAGTTAACATGATGAACACACTACAGGCACTTGGCTTTGCCAGGAGTCTGGGCAGAAAGTTGGTTTCAGTCTTTAAATCACCAGAGACAGAGAGAGGGAGGTTGACCTGGATATCTGCTATGTACTCAGAAGCCAGAAGCTGTGCAGGGCTTAGAGAACAGGTAAGGGAATAACGTAAGAGGACGTCAGGAAGGCAAAGAAGGCCAAACAAAGAAATTCTTGAATATTACACTGTAAACCAATGAACTTCCCTGTGGTGATACAGCAGAAAAGAAAGTGGAACACTTCCTCAACCTGAACTCTGCTTTACAACAAAAGACTCAAGGTGAAAAGAGATCAGGGTATAGGGGAATCACGTGAGGGCTTAGTAAGAGGTCTGGTGGGGGAAGCAGGAGCCGCTGAGCTGAGACAGCTGTCTTCTCTTAAGAGGGGAGAAAGGAAGACCACTACAAGCCACGTGAGGAAAGGAGTTGTGGGGCTCGAGTCCGCCATTCCTCAGAGACACAATCTCTCTCACAGCAAACCCGCTGATCCTCTGGCTTCTAGTCTCTTTCCCCCATTTTTATGCCATGATCTACAGGCAACTGATGAATGCAGAGAGCCGGAGCAACGGTCTTTCCATGGGAAGAGCTCATCAATGGGTTATACAGTACAAAAGGTCAGCCCTGAAAACATCCATACAAGCAACACCATCCAGACTGAGAAGGATTTGTTTATGAGTCTAAGAATATATATGTATATACATATATGTATGGACTGATTTAAAAGACAGAGCAAGGAGGAGTACATGGGAAGGATTAAAAGGAGAAAATAGAAACAGGAAATTATACAGTTATATCATAAATAAAAGGAGTAATTAAAAAGAATGGGGTTGCTAGAAACATTGACATTTCCATATTTATTTACAATGAAGACCCTAGAAAAAAAGTTCAGTCTTTCCAACCTTTGATACAATTATATTCAAATAGTTGGGTTTATTTATCTAAAATAGGAATATGTTAGCAAAATTCAGGTAAGTTTATAGGATTCTTTTATCTCCTTGATATTAAATAGTGAAAAATGATTTAGATTCACTTTATTTTATAATGCTTGATAACATTTTGAAATCCTTAAAGACAATTAAAGGAGATAAATTTCAAAATACCTAAAGAAAAAGCATAAAATATTCGGCTAGGCACAAGAGCTGATTTTCTTGAGCTGTTCTGGGTGGTGTCGGTGTTAGGGTTGATGGTTATGGCCTGCTAGGAACGACGCTCAGCAGACCCTCAGTGAGGACTTGCTGGTCAGGAAGTGTGGGTGCATTCCTCTGTCACTGTTGTACAAAACACCCAAAGAATGGAGCAAGTGGTGGCTGGTCTCGTTCTGTCTGCAGTCAGAAGCAAAGGGAAATCAACCCTTTCTCCTTTTCCTTCTTTCCTTAGGACTCTAGCCCACGAGGTGTGTCATTCACACCCAGTGTGGGTCTTCCCAGAAATGCCCTAATACACTCACCAGGCTATGGGTCCAAGGTGACCCCAAAAGCAGCCACGCTTGAGGTGAAGACTAGCCATTACAGTGGGTTACATGCTTTTACACAAACACGCCAAATGGACAGCAGTCCTAATTTTGCAGATAAAGAAATCTGAGCCAAGAAAAAAAGTGGTTTTCTGAATTCATGAAGGTAGTAGATAGAACCACCCAAACTGGGGCCTAATGTTCCTCCATGAGTAAACTATTAAAAATTGAAGAAAATTACATGAAAAAAATTATGTAGTGTGCCATCTTTTTTTTTCAATTTGACTTGGTTCACATTCAGGAAGTAGGATAATCTAACCAGATTAAAACAAAAATTAAAAATTAAATCAACAACTAAGTATATCCTAATCTCAGGATAGGACTAGGTATTTAAAGAATAAATATTTTTATAAAATGGAGAGACAGACTTTTTATCCAGAAAATGACACATTTTTCTTCCTCCTTACAACCCACTGGAGTGAACATATTTTTTTTTTTTTTTGGTTTGGTAAAGTCTTAAACCTTTAGAGGAAAAGGAAAAAACAGAAAAAAAATATTTTGCAAGTTAGAAAGTCAAGGGAAGTGGCTATTTAATGTTTGTGCATAAAGAGAAATGCTGAGAAACAACTTAGTTACCTTGGGAAAGATGCCAAATGTCTAAGAATTTGGCAGCTTCTGAACATGTGTGAGAAGGTGGAGCTAAAAAGAGAGCTGAGGGAAGGGCTATTTTAAGAGCTTGTGAAGACCCAGTCCCTCTCTGCCTCTCTCTGGATGGCTGTCACACCTACCCTCTCACCCAGCGGGAGTTTCACTTTCTGGAGATGTTTCTAGGACACTAGGCACAATGGAATGAACTATACCAAACACGAGCCAATCAACTAAAAATTTGCATAGACTTGGGAACCCTGAAACAACAGAAAAGGGAGCCCAAAGGGAACAAAGGAAATCTCCCATGACAGTGACACCTGAACCACACAGTCCAACTGCCCAGCTTCACCTTCCAAAGCAGCCCACAGTCAACAAGTCTAGGACTTACTTATACTCCGCATTTCCGGGAGACATGAGCACCCAAGTGTCATCAGACACCCAAGAAATGACAAGGGAGACGACCAAATAAGCTGATGAATAAACATACTGCTGAGGAAGGAAAGGTCACGCAAGAACATAGTAATAGTTTCAGAGAAATAATAGAAAGCATAACATTTGTGAAAACGAACAGAGGCTCTTAGCGCTTACAAAACACACCACCAGCAATGAAAGGCACAGAAGGTTTATAAAAGAAGGCGGAGGGCATTTCATTAAAAAGGAGAACAGACGACTCAGCCCCAGGAAACACAACTGAAGAAAATTTCCCAGAACAAAAAAGTACAAGAGATTCCAGACTGAATACACCCACACAGTTCCCCATGCAAGACCACGAGGCATGACACTGTGAAATGTCAGAGCGGAGGGGACCTGTGAGGGACAGGATGATCCCTGAGCTTCAGGAAAGAAAAAACAAATCTCAGGAAGGTGAGAAAGAGATGGCAGCTGAGGCTAGAAATCCCTTTGAAAATGTGTGTGGATCTGTATGCTGTGATTATCGTTGGTTAATAAAGGGACTGCTTTGGGCCTATAGCAGAGCTATAGGGGAACTGGGAAAAAGAAGAGCAGAGTCAGGGAGAAGCCATGTAGCCCTGCCAGAGACGGACGCAAAAACTTTAGCTGGTAAGCCATAGCCACGTGGTGATACATAGATTAATAGAAGTGGGTTAAATTATTATGTAAGAGTTAGCCAATGGTTCAAGCAGTGGTTTAAATAATATAGGTCAAGCAGTGGTTTAAATAATATGGTTTCTGTTGAATATTTCAGTTCTGGGCGGCCAGAACGAACAAGCAGCCCCCTCCAACAGTGTGCAAAAATGGCAAGAAAAACAATGGCAGGAGCTGGCAGGAGCATTTAAAGCTCCCAGTCTCTTTCCTGCCTCTGTCTAGGTGGATGCTACCTATTGCTCTATGAAGAATTATTTTTTTTAATTATTTGCGGGAATGGGCTATAATGGAGAACAGCCCTTGACAAGCAGACACTCAAATGACTGAGACAAAATGAAAGCATTTTTCAGACACTTAAAGTCTCAAAAATTGGTTGTTATCCGTGTACCTTTTCATTAAAAGCTATTTCACTCACAAGTGGCTTCTGGACATAAAGCAAAGAAAAAAAAACCAACCTACAGTCCACAACCCCAGACAATTTAGCCAACAAAGAGGACTCTGAGAGAGACATACATGGATCTACATAGGAAGGAGAAAAAGATTAAGATCTCCTGGGTAAATTGGGAGCATGGGGGGGGGGTCACAGGAGAGGAGAGAAGGAAAGGGGGAGGAAGGGAGGGAACAGAGAAAATGTATAGCTCAATAAAAACAATTTAAAAATTTCAATTGCATAAGTATATAGAGTTTGTACATGAAAAAAGCCAGTTAATACAATATGATATCTCAATGCAGTAACAGGTTGAGCTTAAAAACATTAGACAACAGGAAAGACTAGAACCAGGAGATGCTGCTCTAGAGCGGAAGGAGCTACAGAATGGTGGTGAAAGAAAGAAACCCACCCATGAAACACAGAGCCTGTAAGAAAGCCCTGGGGCAACCAGAGGGATGCAATACCGAGCTGCCAGGAAACACTGATTTCCCAAAATCCAAAAGGCAGCGCATATGTCCAGAAATGACAGTCTGGGTTTAGCTGAAGCTGGACTATAGAAGGATTTCTGACCCTTAGATAAAAACCAGCCATGCTTCAGGAACTTCTGAAACATGTTCCCATGGGCCAAACAGAGTTTCTTCCCTTGCCTCTTGTAGCAGGGACATATGGCCGGCTCTCCAGGGACATAGTCCCGTGGTTGCCTATCAGAGATCTACCCTGACTATTCACAACTACCTGCTGTAACTTTCCGGGGCCCTTCTCACCTCCCCAGGCCTCTCTCTTCCCAGATACCCATCAGTTCTCCATATAAGGACAATTTTTTTCCTTCTGCCCCCCCCAATTCTAATATCTCCATTACCACCCCCAGGCTCCCAGCCCCCACCACCCCACCCCCTATTCTGTATTTTTTCTACTCTTTCTATTCCCTGCTATTCTTCCATCCCTCACAAACAGCCTAGGACCATGTTCAGTGTCTTTTTTTTTTTTCCTCTCTGTTCTGGACTCTTCCAGATGCCTCTGGATATTTTTTCTCTCTTATCCACAATAAAAATCTTCTCTTAATGGAGCAGCCATTGCAGCAGTTTCTTTACTGGACCCCTCCATCCACTAACCACTGTGAATTCTGGGAAAAACAAAAGGCTACACAAAAAAGAAACAAGACAAAGCTATAAGCAATGTGTAAGCAATAGAGATAGGTACGTGCTGACAATGGTCCCCATGTTATGATAATCTGTCAGCAGGGTAAAGGGTGCAGTTTTCACGTGAAGGGGTGGAGCAGTTTTAAGGTCGGAAGACAGTAAAATACTCATTTTTAATCGCAGGACATCATGACTGATCATCACAAGGCTGCCACTGTATCGTAATAAAATGAAGGTCTAGAAGGAAATTTTGAAAATAGCTACTTTCGACCATTTAAACGAAGTCTCTCCTGAGTAGTTAATGCCAGGAGTGTACATGAACAGTTGTTTCTATGATACCGTGTACAGAAGAACGATCTGATCCTTCAAACTCAGTATATCAATGTAGAGTTTATAATATTTATGATTTTAGGTGTGGGACTAAAATGCTGGGAATGGATTTCAATTTCCCCTATGCGATGAGGAAGAGAAGACAAAACAATGCATGGTCTCACGTGCGTAAGTCCCACTGATTCCAGACTGGGTCAAGCATCTCTGAAGCTCCTCCGCATCCACCTCACCATCCTGCAAAAAAAAAAAAAAAAAAAAAAAAAAAAAAAAAAAACACATCGATGTGGGTTTTAATGTCTAGTGGTACCAAAGGACATCAAAAGCTTCACTGGATGCTGCTCTAAGGCCATTAAGAAATACTAATTTTCAAAATGGTATAAACTACAAAATTCACAAGGTAAATATTGTCAGCCAAGGCACACCACGGACCCTGTAACCTGGTGAACCTATTTCCTGCATCTCAGATGCAGAACAATGCCCTTGTCTTCTCATGGTCAAAACAATGCAAAAATGCTTGGTTATTTTACTCATGGTTATCCTTGCCTGAGAGCATCTCGGTGCTCCTTTCACAGCCCCACTGCTGTACCTGGAGGGTGCTTCCCAAATTAAAAACTCCATAATTATCCTTAAAACTATGGTTGAAGCCGGGCGGTGGTGGTGCACGCCTTTAATCCCAGCACTCGGGAGGCAGAGGCAGGCGGATCTCTGTGAGTTCGAGACCAGCCTGGTCTACAGAGCTAGTTCCAGGACAGGCTCCAAAACCACAGAGAAACCCTGTCTCGAAAAACAAAAACAAAAACAAAACAAAAAAAAAACTATGGTTGAAGGCAAACTGGCATATTTTTAAGAGTGAGGCTTGCTTAGAAAAAAGTAATTCTCCAATAACATGGATATCAGAAGGTCTTTCTGGCACATTCCGCTCAGGTAAACACTACCAATAACTGTCTATCCTGAAGAAACCGTTTCAAGCCAATATTATGTTTCAAGAAACATAAATTATGAATAGCTGCTTCATGCACTGTAAGCAGAAATAAGCAGTAAGAACTGAGGAGGTCCCTGCAGGTGTCATGCAGAGAAGTAAACCCACAAAGAGATAAGAATAAAAACCCGGTGCAGATTAACTTTGTCAATCTGGATCAGAGTTTGTTTAGTCCAATAACAGGTGGTTTATTCCCAATGTACTGAAGCCCAGTATAATTTGGTAATATCTATCTCAGTGTAATATAATCCCTCTTGCACAAGGAAGCGTAATTACATGGAAACTCAGCTGAGCTGAGGGTACCTGTCATTTTATTTCTTCCAAGGTGGGTTCTAGAGATAGGCTACCTCATTAGCTTAAGGATCTAAGGGTCTGGCTTGGTCTTGGTCATTTGGACTCTTAGCTGTCTCTGACTCTAGTTGTGGAAGCGTCAGGAAGCCTCTGGCTATAAGGGTCATTTAGATTACTAGCCACTCTGGTCTTGGTTGTAAGAGCTCTACAGGGCCTAAACCAACAGGCTGTTAATCACTTTCAAATCTCAGCTTCCTGGATGGAAGAACAGGTTTTTCATCTTTCCCACTGGAAAAGACAATCCTGTGTGCATAGCATTCCTGATTTCTCTGGAGATCTGTGGGCTCAACAACCTTCCTGCTTTGCTCCCAACAAAAAGCCTCTACACCCAAATCTGACAGCTCTACAGTCAGGACAGGGCCTTGAAAGTCCAAACACCAGGTGTGGTCAACTACTGCACACCAAAGAAGTTTCTGTAGCCTTTTCCCCTCCTTTGGATTTTTAAAAGCTGTCCTCACACACACTGACAATAACAACTATAATTGTTTTTCTCTTTAACTCGTAAGTGGGAAAATACCATTCTTCCCACTAACAACTCAGCGTGCAATATTCAGGCAGCACAAGGACACACAGAATTCAGTGAACAGGAAACACAGCTTTAAAACCGTCCAGAAAAAAAATGTGAATATATGGAAAATTTCCACCACTGTAATTAAAATCATAAGAAATAAATCCTATGCAGTCAGATGTTTTATGTCCCAGCACCATCACCTCTTGCAACTTTCGCACACAAGTACACCTACCCCCACAGAGTAGGTTATTAAATAGTAAATATGTAATACAATTACATATTGTTTATGCTTCTAAACAGAGAAGACAAACTTTGGAGGGCATGGAGTTACTTTAGTAGCAAACCTTGTTGAAAAAGAAACCTAGAAAAAAGTATTGTGAATTTCAGTTAAAGAACATAAAACATGTGTGAGGGTCTTATCTGCTCTGTGGAATGAGAGCAGAAACAGGTTTGATTAAATAAGCCTGAACTTAGTCTCCCACACACCACACTTGAACTTTTCATTCTCTGCACAATGGCCCCTGTTTTCTTCACTACTGCTCTGCATAGATACAATGTGTACCAAAAGGAGTCTGTGCTTTATAATTAGAAACATGTACCCCGCCTATGAAAAGCTACTGCTTCACCCATTGAAAACTCAGAAATCTTGTCTGTTAACTTCGTCAACACATTTGACATTTTATTTGCTGTAAGTTTTACTTCACTTTGACATGGGGATCTTCTTACGCTGCCCAGGCTAGGCTCAAATTCCTGGCCATGCTGGTCATCCTAGGCCAGCCTGCTGGGCAGCTGGGACTGGAAGCAATCTCCTGCACCTTGATGACTACAGGAAGAGATGTAGATTCTTCATCTTATGAAGCTTTTGGAGAAATAGAAGAAAAGCCCTTTACGTACACAATCCTGTCTTTCAAATTTACATTTTTCCACCCAATTATCTCCTTAAAACATGCAAATTTAACCATGACAAATTAATCGGTCTATATTTTACTGTTTTACAAATGTAAAGTCATCAGACAGGCTGAACAGGCTCTGTACATGTAAGCAGAGTCGGCAAGGAAGTGAGGCAAATGAGAGAGAGCTGTGTGTAAGCACAGGGTCAGACCCTGTCTTAAAAGCTGAGAAAAATGAGCTTTTGCTCATCACACTGTTCTTAAGCCACTTTAATTAAAAAAATTAAGACTGCATTTGTTTTTATTACTAGTTTTTAAAAAAATACTTTTAAGTTGTGTATTCAAGACAAATGACTTAACAATACAGCAACAACTAAAGGTTACACCAGAAGTTTACATTAGGTGACCTTCTATGGCAAGTAAGAAGAGTGTTAATGAGAGAAAGGGTGTATTTAATTCTCTTACGAAAAACTTAAGCTAGATGCAAGTCTAGCTCTCTGAGTTCAAGACCACCAGGAATATATAGTGAGACCCTGTTTTTAAAAAAGTAAATTTAAAAAATAAAGCAATGACAATACAAGTTCATTGTTTCATAAAGGAAATCTAGGGCTGAGTGCAAGGTTATGTGGCGACTTAACTGTACCATCAACCTCTGCATTCCTCACATTCTCCACCCAAAAGTCTATCTCAAGTGTGTCGTGCCCAAGCCACAGATGGCTGCTCTTCTTTCAAATCTCGTTTCCTTTCCAGGCAGGAATAATGAGCCAAAAATAGCCAAGGCTGTCTTCTAACAAGGTCTTTAAAAGTATTGTCATGTTTCAATTTTGTATTTAGTAATGGCGTGTGGAGCATACATGAATGTCAGAAGACAACTTTTGGAAAGGAGTCTGCCCTCTCTCCTCCCCTGTGGGTCCCAGGGTTTGAACTCAGGTCATCAGGGACTTTGTGATCTTGCCAGTCCCCCAGCAACGCTTTATTTGGAAAAGCATTCCAAAGAAATTCTATCCACGTGGCTGTTTTTAATCTCACAGCAAATGGATATTTTCTGTAGCCCTGAGTTTCCAGCTTCTAGGACACACTGAAAGGAAGTTGTCCACGGGGCTTGAGTGGCCCATCACGGGTCACATATAGTAATCCTGTACAAAGCCTCTGTTCTTAGAAAAGCAATGGGATCTAAAGGGCACTCAAGTGAAGCACAGAATGTAAGATGCTGGTGGTGCTCTATGAAATGCTACCTACTTCAGAACATCCTCCACTGCTATTAAAGACAGGATGGTTACAGACCGGAGCTAAGCCCAAGGGAGAATTTCTCCTTGTCTTCAGTCCAACAAGCGGAATTTCAGGACACTTTTTTTTTTTTTTCATATCGCTAATCCCTCCTGGGAACAACTGCAATTTACAAATCACCATCTGATAGCCTGCCCCAATTTAGACGTAGTTTTCTACTTGAGATTTTACCCTATAGTCTTGATGCACCATCCTATTATATTCTAGAGACACAATCATAAATTCTTCACCCCAATAATAATTAAATATATGAACATACAGCAAAAAATGTTTCCTTGTCTAATATACATTAAGCCCATGGGTTCATATACAACTCTCTCTCTCTTTCTCTCCCTCCCTCTATCTATTTCTCTCCCTCCTTCTATCCCTCTCTTCTACTGAATTGGAATATGAAATACCATTTTCATCACTGTCTTAGTTAGGGGTACTAGTACTATCACTGTGATGAAACACCATGACCAGAGCAACTTAGGAGAAAAATGGTTTATTTTTCTTATACTTCCATTTCACTGTTCATCATCAAAGGAACTCAGAACAAGAACTCAAACAAAGCAGCAACCTGGAAGTAGGGGCTGATATAGAGGCCATAGTGGGCACCATGCTGCTTACTGATTTCCTCTTCATTTCTTCTACAACTCTCTTTCTTATAAAACACAGAAAAAAATTGAAGAAGCCTCAACATGGTCGTTTTGATAATCTTTCCTAGAAAAAGTGCCATCAACGTAAACCATATATCACCAAAAAATGATATAACCGCATCTGTGAGGACACATGCAATTTCTCAGTTGGAATAGATGAAGGACAGTGGCACCGGTCTCCGATCACATCCCTTGTTACACGTTATTTACATTTAATGGAACTGATGCCAAAGTTGAAAATATTGAACCTGTGAGTAATACGGTATGAACACACATCATTCACACGTGAAACTATCAAGAGCAAAGTCAATAAAGTTAGAAAAATGAAGCCATTATGGCTAGTCTCATCTTTGATCTCAAGAACAGTATTATTCTTCCTGAGTTTAAGACATGAGCTTTCTAGACATTTGAATGATACACTAAGTGGGAGCAGTTGGCACGTCTCTGAAACAGAAATCAGTTATTGACTAGTATTTGGTAAAAGATTTATCACCTCACCTGTCCAGCAACAGCTGTGAAGAAAGACCACATAGAGTCGTCAGCAGGGGGGTAGCTGTCAGAGTAGGCCACGTACCCCGGGTAACCACCAGCGAACACATTGGGACCTGGCATCGGCTGGCCCATTGGCATCTGCATCCCTGGGATCTGACAGCCGAAGTTTCCAAACTGTTGAGGGAAAAGATGAGGATGGTAATAAAAAGCTGAGCTATAAAACTTAAGTTAAAAGAAAATATTTATTAGAAATCAGCTAAAACCAAAGAAATCTAGTGGCCAAATTTTCCAAACATATCGTCACTAAAGTTCCAACCACAAGATGCTAGAAGGTCTTTATTAAAACAGCTCGTCAGCACGTTACTCAACAGTAAAAGAAGTCTAAATGATGTTTCAAGCCTCTAATGCCTATAAGGGCTGTGCGTGTGAGCAGGTACCCACAGAAGACAGAAGAGAATGTTTTATCCCCTGCAGCGGGAGTTACAAGTTGCCTGATGTGGGTATGGGGAACTGAGCTTGGTCTTTGTATGAGCACTATGCGCTCTTAACCACTGAGCCTTCTTCCCATCCCCTAGTCTCTAAGAACCTTTAAAACACTGGTTCTCAACCTTCCTGATGTGCGACTCTTTAATACACAGTTCCTCATGTCATGGTGACCCCAACCATAAAATTATTTCGTTGTTACCTCATAACTGTAACCTTGCTATTGTTGTGATTTATAATGTAAATGTCTATGTTTTATCTGTGTTTTCTGATGGTCTTCGGTGACCAACCTCCGTGAAAGGGTGGTTTGACCCCAAAAGGAGACGCGACCCACAGTTGAGAACCAAAGCTTTAAAAGACTGTGTATAACTTTAAGCAAAACTAAAAGCAAACATAAACAGGAAGTAAATCCTAGGGTTTCACCTATAGGAAACTAAGAAATACATTTCTGGATTTATGCTTAGCTGAAAATCAGATAAATACAGCCATACTATGACAAAAGCATGGGAAATCACAGAGCTGAGGCACTCTCCACTGTAAGAGATGCAGCTTTTTTTTTTTCAAAAATGTGACCAGAAGAAAGTAACAGGATGATTCCAATCAAAGTCCTCTTCCAAGCCAGCATGAAGATCTACCACACTACTGATGGGCAGCTAACCGGGGCCCCTGTGCAGCCTGAGCACCATTCTGAGTACTTTCCATCCTTTGTGCTGATTCTCACCGGTCTGTGAGACGTGAAAGTAGTTTGTTCTTTCTGCCTTTGAGGATGTGAAACTTAAAGGATTCCCAGAGGGCCAGGTACTCAAACACAGTGTGACCACTGAAGCCATCCACGGCTGTGTGTCTTATTATGCCTATGGAGTGTCCCTTTTCACTTGGTACAGCCATGACTGCCTTAGGAAAGAACTTTGCTTTGCATTTGTATGAGTCCAGCAAAGGAAGACACATCACGGCTGTTTGTTATTCAATTTTGAACAAACTGTCTTGCCCTGCATCTTTGCAGCACAAGCAGAGACTGCCAGATGGCAGAGAGAGGAAAGAATTACAAGAATGAGGAGGAACAGAGGCTGACTTTAGAACCTGCTATAGAATGTTCAGGCACCTCTGGGCTGCGGTAAAATCTAAGGCATGAAGGACGTGCCAGGACTGTAGGAAATGCACTTGGGAAGGGGATCATGAAGCCCTGAGCCCCGGCTCTACATACCAGTTGGAATGAATTATCAGAACTGGCCACAGTGCTTTTAGACCCAACAAATAACAGATGGGTGAGACTTCGAACTCATTAGTCCCTTATGTCAACACTTTTAAAAATTAACTTATTTTGATTTTATGTCTATGCGTGTTTTTGCCTGCATGTATGTAGGTTCTACATGTGCAGTGCCTAAAGAGGCCAGAAGAGGGCACTGGATCCTCTGGAACTAGAGTTAGAGACAGTTGTAAACTGCCATGTAGGTGCTGGGTATCAAATCATAATCCCTCTGAAAGAGCGGCCACTGCTCTTAACCTGGGAGCCATTGTCTCCAGCCCTCCCAACACTGGCAAATAAACCAAGTTCATGTAGTATTTGATAAGCTTGAGTCACCATGTGTGATAGATAGCTGAGACAAAGAAAACAACTCTACAGAGAGAGACCCCAAGTACAATCCACCAAGGAAAGAGAAAAAGAGGGAAAAAAAAAAAACCTTTAGAGGTTTTGGGAAAGAAAAGAAAGAGAAGAAAGAGAAAAAAAACTAAAACCAAAGGGAGATGCTAGAGGACAGCTCCGGTGCTGTCCAATTGGGTGTGACTTTTCCAGTTGACAGTACCATCAAATAACCAAATCCAGAACCTAGGACTGGGGAAAAGAATCCAGTCATTAAGGAGCTTATTAATGGCAGAAGGAAACTCATGTGCTTGAACTTATTCAAGAGGCCTATACATGTACCACCACCATCAATCAAAGAGTTGAGTCAATTTACAGAATTTATTCATACACGAACAAATACAGACTCTCCCAGCAGGGAAGGGATGTTTAGCAAATCTCCTACACTGGCTCTCAGTGGAAGTTCACTGGCCAGTTTGCCTGATTCTTGGTAACTTGGAGAATGTTTGCGGATGCTTGGTTTACAGCATAAGAAACTGAGGGGAATTCTCTCAACAGTGTCTAAGTCAAACTCGCTCAACACACTATATCTTTGTGGAAAGGATATCAAAAATCTGCCTGAACTTATCAATCTAGTACTCAAGAGAACAACATCCTAAACTAACTGTTGAAATTGGCAAGCGCTGTAACCCCGTCATGCAGCATGTATCATAATCAACATGAACACTTTCCAAAGGAGAGTGGAAACTATATCCAGATAACCAACCTCGCCTTGCAGCACAACGAACAAGCAGACTTCCCACACACAACAGAAAAGCTGACCCATTTAAACCCTCTTGGCCTGAGATACAATAGGTCGACGGGAATACCCAGATCATCCATCAGTCAAATGCCATAAATTAGAGGATTTAAAATTAGAAAACAGTAACTTCTACACTACACCCGAGAGTCTTTTATGCAATCTCGTAAAACTGAATAGCTGGACCTTAGCTAGAAATCACTTCCAATTATATCCCATGGATGGTCCATCTCAGTTTTCCACAGTTCATTCCCTCAACATGAAACACAGTCGAATCAACAAGATCTTATTTTGGAATTCTCTCCAGAGCTAAAGTGTAAATTAATTGAGCTGACTATGGAGGAAAATCAGTTGGCAGCACTTCTTTTAGATTTGGAACTTGAACCAATACATTAGAACTGACTTTAAGCACTAGCTAGCTTACCAAGGTTCCAGTGGAGGTGCCTGGATTTTTGTTGTTGTTGTTGTTCTTCTTCTTTTTGTTTTTGTTTGTTTGTTTGTTTTTTGAAGTTCTACTATGATTAAATAGTCTTGCAAGGATGCTGCCTCACAATCTTGGAAACCTTAGGAAGTTAAGAGAATTGGATCTAGAGAACAAATTGGAATCCTTGCACAACGAAACTACTTATCTCAAAAAAATTTTTTAAAAAGTTTTTGCCAAAAAACGAACAAAAAACAACAACAACAAAACCAATGGACCACTCTTCCCAGCAGCACTGGATACCTTACCAATCTCTAACATCTTATCCTTAGAAAGGACCTGCTTATCTTCCTGAAGAAACTGGTATTCCAGAGAAGCTGGGACTGTTTTTGAATAGCAACCCAAACCTGCACAGCCTTTTCTTTGAGCTGGTTCTCTGCAGCAAGCTTTCAATCCTAAGTACTATTATCACTTAGTCACCTTCCACCACAAATTGTTGCTGGAGGACCTTCCTTCATTCTTAAACATGCGGGTCCATATTAAGCCATGGTCTGATACAAACTGCTGGTCCCACACACGGTTCAAAAACAGACTTTGATTAATGTTTCTAATTGTGCAGGCATTTATACATGGCAGATTTATAAAGACTGTATTAGTTGTTTCTGTAAATAGAGGAATCGTAGCCATTTATATATTTGTTAACTATTAAAAAAAGGCGTATACAATTTTTCTTGGCTACGTTTTGATGGACATTTTCCTGTTGTACAATTTGATATTCCAGTCTGTTTAAAATGTTGCCAGAAAATTATAAAATTATTAAATTCAAGGGACAAAGAAGTATAGTTAGATACGTTTTTCTTTGAAAAACAGGTCAACATTTTTATTGCAACTATTCATATACATATTCCCCTTATCAACTGTCAGATCTTTATAATAGAATAAGTGGAATCTTTCCTTATTTTGAAATCTGAAATTTACATAGAATTTCAGTTGGAGTAAATGTCTGAATTTTTCCATGTTTTGATTTTCTGTTTAATCAGTCGCAGCTAGAGTTTATATCCTCTGTTAAATATTCTGCAGCAGTTAGTTTAAATATTAAAAAAATACTTGCTTCTTGAAACAATTGGCAAACTGAAAACATACACTCAGAAATGGAAAATTCCAGTAATTTTATTTAAGGGATGGATTGTGAAACAAGATTTCTGAAATGAGTCTTTGAGTGAAAGGCATTGAAATCTTTCCTGGTATAAGTATATTTTAACTTTGGGGGAGTGGAAACTTTCAGGGAAGAGGACATTTTTGTTTTTCTTTCCTGGAAGTTGGAGATCCACAAAAATTTAACTGGGAAAATTGGCAAATAAATTAATTAGAGTAAACACACATTCTATACATGTATCTATGATTGTGTGTGTGTATGTGTGTGTGTGTGTGTGTGTGTGTGTCATAAACCACAGTGGGTAACTTTAAAAACTTCTCCCTATCCTTGAAGAATCAGATGAATGCCTTTCTTTAACGACTGCAGTATATGTATGTCTCAAAGTTATGTAACCGTGCACTTATGGTTTTATATATTGACTAGCCTTGTGCTTCTTTCTCTTCTAGAGTTTCTGCTCCTGAACTACATATATTTTTCCCCAAATGTGGGGCACCCAGACTCAAATAGTTCAGTTTGGCACCATTACTTTTTGTTTATCAAGACAGGGTTTCTTTGTGTAGCCCTGGCTGTCCTGGTGTTCACTCTGTAGACTAGGCTGGGCTCAAACTCACAGAAAGACCCATCTGCATGTGCCTCCCGAGTACTGGGATTAAAGGCGCGTGCCACCACCACCCAGCTAGTACCATTATTTTAATATCATCTTCCTTTTGTGGGTAGATAGTCATGCAGTTAG